TTTGTTGCTCCATCTGTCGTAATATTACATATATTTGTCATAGGCACTTTCAAAATTAAAAGCTCCTCTTCAAATTCAGAAAAAATATTGCATCCCGTTGTAGTTCTCTTTAAACAACGCATATACGCCAGTTCCTCGGCATGCATGCGTTCTCATCTACACATCTTATAAATAACACTAATTGAGCAGGATCATTTATATCAGTGCTTTCATCCATAGCTATGGAGCAAAATTTAAACTGGCCAATCTTTGAATGTAATTGTGATGTCAAATTTTTATCGATGTCTTCGATTCTAGAAGTCACCATTTTTTTTAGATAAGCTTACAGTCCCAAAATTATTTTTCGTGTCTGGACATAAAACTTGGAGCGTGCATTGTTTAACAAACTCCCCATCACTGAGAGCTTTATTATTTATAGCAATATTGTATGCTACAGTGTAACTTGCATGTATAGCTGCTTCTTGGATACTGTTTACCTTCTTGAAAAAATTTTGTCGGCCTGATAATTTTTTACAAAGACTTTCTGAATTTGTTTTCTTTCATATTCGGACATTGCTTCATAACTAGAATTCTTATGCTTAGATGTGAAATGACGGGAAGTGTTATATTCTTTGAAAACTTCTACAGCTTCATTGCAGATAAGGCACATTGGTTTATGTTTTACCATGTGTAAAAAAATATTTTCAGGTCCATTCATCATTAAAAGCACGACACTCTGAATCAACTTTACGTTTTTCAGTAGCCATTTTGGGGTTTACATAATTTATGAATAACCAAAACAAGCACTATCTATGCTATACTTTTAATAATTTCACCAATATTCACAGTGATGCTGTATGTCCGCAATGTTTCCATATGCAATCAATAATATTAGAACTTGCACCAAAAGAAAAAGCCGCTGTCTGGAGCTTAAAATCCGCAGTCTGCCACATGTGAGGTCTAATTTACCTACATTGGATTCCCATTTGTCTGCTCCCCGAGAAAGAGATAACGCTTGTTGGCGACAATCTACAGCTTTAACTAACAAAGAACTTTAACACTTGACCAATTGCAAGCTGTCTGTGCTTGCTATCTCCATCGATTTATGTGTTGTAGAACAAAAATAGAGTAAGTAAAAAGATCACCAGTCCTTTGAAAAAAAGGAAGGAAAAAGTAATATTTAAACAATGTAGAAAAGTAGATGAATATATAAATATATATTTCTTTTAATTTGCCTCAGACCTACAAGTTTAAAATTCTATCTGCGGTCCGGATAGAACGTTCCGGCGAGTCGTACTTGGCCCGTGGGCTGTAATTTGCCCATCCCTGTTGTAGATTATGTTTTCATGCTTTTTTGGTGATAAGAAGAATCTGGGAAGATTTTATCTCTTCTGTTGATTTAAACCAGTTTCATTTTGAAGTAGAATCTAAATATTTTTTTCCTTGCCTTGCAATGCTAATTATTTGAAATGCATCTGATTTTAGTGCTACTATTTACTGTAAATCTGATTTCTTTTGATTCTTATAGTTACACACTGGCCAATGAATTAGAAACCCAAGATCAATATTTTATTGGACTACTTTTTGCATGAATAACTGCTATGATTCGTTTGGGCATCAAGTCTGCATGCTTCTGGAGTGCATTTACATCCAGAGCATACCATGAATTGGCTATGCAGCTGTTTAGATCTTGTAAACTAGATGGAAGAGGAGATTGCTGTTGGATGCACCTTTCCACTGTATCCCACACATTTTCTATGGGGTTAAGATTTGGTGGCCAGGGAAGGTATTGGAAGTCAGACTGATGCTCAACAAACCAATTTTGAACACTTCTGGCATGATGTATAGTTGCATTATCGTCCATGAAGTATCTGTTGCTATCAGGGTAAAAACGCAGCATTGCTGGGTGCACTTGATCTGCCAATATCTAGGTGGCTGTTTGCCCTCTAGAAACACCAGGGCACCACTTCCATGCCAGCAGAACATGCCCGATATCATGATACTCCTAACAGACCCTTGCACAGTATGAGTAAGGGAAGGGGGCTTCATGGGGTTCTCTCAAAGTTTGACTTCTTCCATCAGTGCAAAATGAGGTGTGGCGAGATTCATCCGACCACATAACCCGTTTCTAATCCTCAGATGTCCAGTGTCTTCTTTCCTGGCAGCACTGCAAACGATTCTTGCATGTCTGGCAGAAATGAGCGGTTTTCTCAAAGGCACCTGACTATGCATTCCTATCTTCTGCAATTCTCTGCCCATAGTTCGAGTTGAAATCTGTTGGGAAGTGTCTTGGTTGAAGATCTGTATCAGTTGAAGCACAGTAGAGTCCCTGTTCTGCCGTACGATTAGTCGGATACAACGCCAAAAACTCTCTTGGAAAACTGTGCTCAGACTGCAGTTACTTATTTTTTAGAGAAGGACTATGGGTTCTGATTCCAACTTTTGAAAATCTTTGATATGGCTGCTGTTGAGAACCCAGTGCGATTTGCTGTCTTCGAAATCGAGGCCCCCGCTAAATGGGCACCAACAATAAGCCCTTTCTCAAATGTAAAAAAACTGTCATTTTTCCCATTTTACTTCATTCATCGTGAAAAAGCACTCTTACACCTTACTTATACCATACTTATACTAGCATTCTAACAATGTGTAACCCATGTCATAAAAAAATTTGCTTGCATACTTCATCCCTAGCACACATTCAAATGAAAATCTAAAAGGTTTCTAATTCATTGGCCATTGTGTGTGTATTGGGCTCTCAAAGTTTGTTCTTCATACCTTTTGCTTTTTCAGGAACATAAGTTATTTGAAATCAATTGCAATTGACAGAGAATTTCACAGTCATAAACATCTTTCGATCAGTTACAGAATTGCTTAGGTTTTCCACATATTCAAATTTCACATCATTTTGCCATTAATTGGTAAAATTTACTGTTTGATTCTTAAAGATTCCATCTCTGCTTTTAATTCTTGTGGAGTTTATACAGTACAAAGTCCGTAATCCTGACTCGTGGGGACTTCGGCGATTCCGGATTAGGGGTTTTTCCGGATTATAGATCATCAATTTAAATCTGGTAAGATGGCATGCAGAAATTATACAATTAAAAATATGAAACCGTAATTTATGAAATAAAGAGCAATTATGATCTAAAGGGTATCAAAGTTTATAAAAAAAAGCTTAATATTTATTTGTTTACTTTAGTAAACATTTCTTTCAATGTAAGTTGTTTAAGTTGCTTTGTTTTTTGTGCTAATACTTTCTCTTTAATTTTATAAACAGACATAATTTCTTGTTCAGTTACAAAGTTCCACTGTTCGAGGTCCTGTAATTGCTGTGTCGAGAATACCGACTAACTTGTCAATTGAAATTTTTTCGTTTTCATTAACATTCTCTGTTACTTTCTTCACTATCGGAAGCACGCATGGATAAACACTTTACTGGCTTTACGTACATGCGTAGCGGACATGCTCATCAAACCCGCATGCGTAAATGCATTACGCGCATGCATAAGTTTGTGGCTTTGAGGTCCGAATTATAGATCATTCTGGATAATAGACGTCCAGATTACGGACTTTGTACTGTACCATATTTTGTCAGTGTGGTTTGCCATTCGCTATCCGAGCTAAAAGAGCAGTAAAATTTCATGCTAAGAAACATACATTTTATGTGTGAAAAGGAAAAATGAATACATATGTGATAACTAATCATATTGGGCATAAAAATAAAATAAATTTTGGTTGTATGAGAATTATCAATACAGCTTGTTTGATTGGTGAATTTGGACCTCATTGAAGCCTTTCAAATTCCCGTAAATTATCTTCTCCAGTTAATGATATTAATTCCAATCTAGTTCTTGACATTTTCAAAATCTTAATAATTTAGTTTTTTTTTAATGTTTTGCTTGGTAGATTACACTGTATTTAGTTATTTTCTTTGCAGACCCCATTTTTTTCATGCAGAATGTTTGTCACTGCTTCCATCGTTTCAGAAAAATTTTCGCCTGAAGAAGGACCTGTGTCCAAATGTCATCAAGATTCGTAGATTTTATTTAAAATCTGTGCCAACTTGAAATTACTTTTTTGTCAAATCTGAAATTTTACACTGACACGTTTCTTTTCTAATTTGAGCTTTATTTAATGTTTATTTAAAATGTTGCAGTTTCAGAGATTACAGCAGCTCTACCTATTTTCAGGTGCATATGAATAATCTCAGCATTTATGAATTATTCCAAATTGTATATGTACAAAGGTCTGATTATGCATGACAATAACAATTGCACGGACAAAAATTTTTCGTATTCCTTTTCACACTGTTTCTTAGGGCCCACTAGCAGCTGAACAGTAAAGTTGCTGAACACTGCTAATTCAGTCCAGAGTTTGAATCCTTGCAAATAAGCTGGCTGCATTAGCATTTTTTTGTTTTTCCCCATGTGTAATGCGTATGTGAGCCTTTTTCCATTAGAAAGTTCTCCATGAAGGCATCTGTAGGCTTAGGCAGATTGCCTTCAATTTCTTTGTCATAATCAAACAAACCAAACTAATTCAACGTTTCTTTCATTTCAGATCGTCCTTTGTAAATCATAGGATGTACATATTTTCTATAGTTATGTATTTTGTATAAACTTTTGAATAAAACAAAACAGGGTAATGTAATGTTATGTTTTTAAATATAAAACTTTGATTTTGATGAGCTTATCAGATGACTTATCAGGTTTATCCGGTCATCAGAAGTTTTGCTACTTGGTATATATTAGCTTATAATTTAAGATATCTTGCTTTCTTACTTTCTTTAATAATGTAAATATCATCTTAATGAATGTAAGTTTATGAAAATGCAGACTAAAATAAGTAATTATACAAACTAAATTAATAAAGGCTGTTAAAATACTGGCCTTCATGACAGATCTAAAATCCTGTGCCACTCAGAGGGTTAATAAACATTACAATGTCTTGTATTTTTCTCTGTCTTGATGACTATGTGTTTGATGTTTTATTTATGAAATCTTCATTTGAATTTTATGTAGGATGAAGAAGCTTGGTCTTAATACTTACATGTATGCTCCAAAAGATGATTTTAAGCATAGAGCTTATTGGAGGGAGTTATACTCAGTTGAAGAAGCAGGTGTGTTTCCTTTGTGTTTGTACTTTTTTTAAATATTACTAGTGTATTGATATTTTAATATTTTCTAGTACATTGATTGTTTATTTTTTAATTTATTCTAGCTGATATAAAAATTTACTGGTGTAAAAAATAGCAAAATATAATATTTAATAAAGTAATTTTTTGCTCTCATTCTTTGCAATGCTAGTACCTGACACTGACTAAATAGAAAAGACTGTTTATCGCTTGTAGTGGAATTTGGGTTTAGATTTGAGCAAATAGAATCGTTGCACTGCATTTTTTTGGGTTTTAGCCTGTGTGTATTGGGATCATGAATGAATTTCTCTTAGAAAATGCCCTGATTAGGCATGACTTTAAACAGGGAGCACTTATTGGATATGATCTGCTGTATGTAATCAAATTTTGTAACTCTAAATAGTACATAATTTTATTATAAAAACCTAAAACTAGCTCACACAGAAAACTTGGAAAGGGCATTAGTTATAACATTCTAAAGGAAACACTGAAATCTTGTTGCTTGATTTTTCTATTAGTGCACTGCTTCAGAAACATTAGTAACATATTAGAAAGTTCTTGAAGGGTTTACTAGATTGGAAGCAGTATCACAAATATGCATTCAGTAATAATATGATAAGAACAATAATACAAGTGTATTAATGTTCAATGTAAGTAATTAATGAGCTTTAAAAAACATGAACTTGGTAGTTTTCATTATTTTAAAGTATTTTTCTGGGAGGGACATAATTGGACAAGTCAGAAAATTAGAGCATAATTATTAGAATATTTTATTTCATAATTTAAATGTATTATGCATGAATGGCATGTTGATGGCATGCATGAATAATTATGAATTAAATAATTTGTAAATGCGTCAAATTTGACTCGATAATGAGGCCCACCAGCGGTTGAGCAGAAAAGTTGCTGAACACTGGTAGTTCGGTCCGAGGTTCAAATCCCACGAATGGGCTGGCTGCATGGGCGTTTTTGTGGTTTCCCCATGTGTAACACGTATACGAGTCAGTTTCCCTTAGAAAGTCCTCCACGAAGGCATCCCTCCCTTTAGGCAGATAGCCCTCGTATGCTTTGCCATAATTAAATAATCGAATCCAATCCATTATAAAAGAACAAATATAGCTCATTAGTTAAACTTTTCACTACAATAAAAGAAGATAAGTATAAAATAAAACTCTGCTTTTTAGATAAATATAAGATTATTGTAAAAGATTAAATATCTCTTTACGCTGCATTGTAGACCAAAGTTTCAGTTGAAAAAAATGAATCAAAAAGTAGTCTTTCGGGTTGATAGTTTGGTCATTTGGCATCTTTAGATCAGAAGTTCACAAAATTCAAAGGAAGGAAACATGGATGCTACGCAAACAAATAACATTCGTAGGAAAATCACAGCAAATGAAAACATACTTTTCAAATGTTAACTGTTTTACTTTCTTACCTGTTTCATATACTTTTCATGTAAACAACACGGACTGGCTGCAATAGGCAACTTCGTAATTATCTCCATGTGTAACATGTATACGAGCCAGTTTCCCTTAGAAAGTCCTCCACGAAGGCATCCCTCCCCCTAGGCAGATAGCCCTGGTGTGCTTTGCCGTAATCACACATACACATAATTGACTCGATAATGTTAACTAATATGGAATACTAAACTTTGAATTTGAACAAGTTCTTTCTTTCGTGGAGATTGGAAACAATATTTGAACAGTTGAAACTGCAGTGTGAAAGCAGCTTAGACCACAGGTCTCAAAATCAAAATTGCAGGCCTAGTGCATGGCTTGAAAGCAGCTGGCAGGCCAGAATTGTTTAACAAAATAAGACTAAGTTTTAGCTAACAAAGTTTTAACTTGCTTCCAAATTTCGCATGCTAATTATTTATCAAAACATGCATAAACAACAACAATAATAAAGAAAAAAAATCAAATTTGTAATGTTTATTTCCCATCAGTAAGAAATTTATAGTGGTTAGATTTTGTAACTGAAATATACAGAAAGCTAAATATTACATTTTTGGAACAAATTCATAGAAAGTTTTTAAACTTCCCAATGGGGACTAGACTTCCGAATAAATAATCGCTACCTGTTGATCTTCTTTTATCTGTTACATTTTTCTTCGTAACATGCAGAAAAAAATGCATTGTTTGTAAATAATTATGCATTTCTCTCTTTTTTTAGTCCATTTTACTTTAGATTTTGTTAAAGTTTCAACCTCAGAGAAAAATTACTAGAAACCATCACGAATCATAAATGCTCAATTAGATGTTGGTATTTTATATGAACATTTTAAAATAATCATTCTTTATCAATAAGCAATCTTTCACGAGTTTGCTATCACTAAATGGTTTTGATCTTTTTTCAATGATGTGAACGAGAGCAAAACTTGCGTGAACTATTATTGCTTCACTGGATTTATTTGCTTATGCAAAAACATTTTGATGATGTAAACCAGATTTTTAGAAAGTGACTTTTCTTTTCTCTTTGTCTTCTTATATTTCACATTTTTCTTTGATTTGTTTCATATTGGTGACATAAGTTGTATTGCCTTAAGATTAATGAACCATTCAATTTTATTGTGCACACCACCACAAAAGAATATAATTTATCTTGTAAAGCATGTCTTCGTTCAATTTTATTTTACCCTTTGTTAAAGATTGCTCGTAAAATCACTGTTTTATTTTTATTTGCAAATTTAGTTAAAAAAAGATGAATTTTCATGTAAAAGCAACCCTCAAAATTTTCACGCACTATTTCAAATGATAGGTATTGGTGTAATGTAGATCTAACAGCAAGTACAAGTAAACATGATTTATAAGTCATACATTAGTTTTTCTTTGTATGTATAGCAATATTACCTGTATAGCTGCATATCCAGATTACCAACTAATGATTTATTGAAGAAAAGTACCAACTCAATTAGGGAAATATGGAAACACAGGAATACTAAAGTTCCACCAGCTGTTGGCTGGCAAATAAATCTATTGATTTTACCCACCTTAAAACACTCATGGCCTGCATATAAAGTCCAACTTGTTCATTCTATTTTAGTTCAGCAACATATAAATTCAGTCTGTATTACTTCATCTCTAATGTTGTTTATACATTAAATTGTCATTTTCTGAGATGGAAATGATTAACATACTTTTTCCCTCAATAATTTCTTTTGTGAGCCTATCAGAATGCTGTTATCTCAAATGCGTTTTATGTGTACATAGGCTATATGCTAGCTTTGATATCATTTGGAATACGATGACTGCTAAAATATTTCTAATGGTTTTCTAAAGTATCAATCACATTATGTTTAAGCTGCGTGGGACTTGACGTCAAAAGGGACAATTCTCAGCACCCGCACAATTCCAGGAAACCCACGTAGCTAGGTTACCATTTTCACTTACTACAAAGACTTGAAAGCCAAACACTAATTGATTATCACTCGGATTGGGATTACGTGAGGCTTCAGAAGCAGAACTTTTGTCTGATTGGTAAGTCTCTGCCCAGGACTGAGGTCTAGCTGAGGCATTTTCGATGAGGTTTGAAAAAAAATCCTGCATAGCCGCAACATTGTTTCCGTAGCTAGGCAGAACTTCAGTGCAGGCGGGGCTCTTTTTTTCTAGGAATCCTCCCATTTAAACCAGTGCTACCAGAATCTCATTACTAAAAAAAAGTCCTGTCTAGCAGGGACATAGCCATATGTGATAACCTCTTAATAAACACTATATTGCAGTCCACTACACGATGAATTTATGCTGTATCTAAATTTATGAGATTTACATAAACAAATGCATGACTGAAGTGTGTTGGCAGGCTTACCAGTTTGAGACTAGCTTAGACAGTAAAACTCTGATTTTTTTTTTTTTTAATTGTCAAAAAGTGGAAGATTTGCTGGGTTATTAGGATAATTTTAACAAAAATTGCAGTCTTAACACTATTCTGTTATGTAATCAAAGTTCATGAGTACATTAAGTGGAAACAGTGTCAATTGTTTTGAATCTTCACATGCACGCAGACAAACGCATAAGTAATTGAAATATATAACTTAAAAAGGAAAGCATATATTATATTTTGCAAGAATTTTTTAATGAAATGAAATAAATGAATGATGAATGAAATATTATAAATTGGAATCAATGTTGAAAGAAGTAATTAATCATCAGAACAGTTCATTTTTCAGACATTCTTTACTTTCCGTCTCAAAGAAATTTCTCATTTGATATATACTTCTAGCTAGTAAATATATTTATTAGCTAGAAATGTATATATTTCTAGCTAGTAAAATGCCCCTAAGCAGAAATATATTCTTAAGGTTTGTGCAAGAAGCTTGCATTCTAATTCTCAAAACTACCAAAACATTTGACGCTCAAAATAATAAAGTGTATCTCCTCTATATCTAAATACCCATGGCTGCTGAGGGGGTATTAAAGCTGGTTTGAGAATATTTTAAATGACATTATAATACTGCCTTGTTAGATTTTGAAAAAAAAAAAAGAAACATTTAATCTAATTTGTATGGCACTTCTTGAGTGCAGGATAGGTTAAAATCCAGTGAGAAAAAGACATTGAAGTATGCTGAAATTGGTAATAGTTACTGAAAAAGTTTTGTATTGTCTGTGCAAAAGGGAAGGTTGCATTATCCTGTTTAGTACAAACAAGTATCATGGCATTCTTGAAGGAATGCAGATAGTACGTAATTGATAGAGCCATTACCAACCTAATGCTAATGAGGTGGATTCACAGCCTGTGTATTGTCTCCATGTTTTTAAAACATTATTTATTCAATTAGGCATACAGTACTAATGATCCATTGTCTTATTTTCTTTAAAACAGATAAAGCATGACCTGATGGCATGCTATCATAAATGGTACTCACTAATCTGCTACCAGCAATTCATGCAATTCATGTTGTATAGTACTGTAATGGAGTATGTGGTACTAGCATTAAACTGAAGTATGGTTTTGCACTTTACTTTCATTGGGTGATTATGTTCATTATCAGATAATGGTTCATCTCCTTTGGCACAATTAGTAAATATGTACCTTTCTCATCTCTCATTCAGCCTTTGGAATATTTCCGTTTTGCTATTTTGTCTTGGAAACTGAAGCATGTGTACCACTGTAGAAGCAAGTCATTCCATTCGTCTGCCATGTCAGTATTTACCCTGGGGTCAAGTAATATTAAATTATCAGTAGAGCTGCTAGCTGTTAAACCCCACTAAACAGGATTGCCAAGACTATTATGCCATGTATCTATTACAGTCAAAAGTCGTTAATCCGGACTCGTCGGGACTTCGGCGATTCCGGATTATCGATTTTTCCGGATTATAGATCATCAGTTTAAGTCTCGTAAGATGGCATGCAGAAATTCTAAAATTAAAAATATGAAACCGTAATTTATAAAATAATGAGCAATTATGATCTAAAGGGTATCAAAATTTACAAAAAAAAAAGCTTAATATTTATTTGTTTACTTTATTAAACATTTCTTTCAATGTAAGTTGTTTAAGTTGCTTCGTTTTATGTGATAATACTTTCTCTTTAATGCTATAAACAGACATAATTTCTTGTTCAGCTACCAAGCTCCGCTGTTCAAGTCCCGTTAATTGCTGTGCCGAGAATACCGTCTAACTTGTCAATCGAAATTTTTTCGTTTTCACTAACCTCTCTGTCACATTCTTCATGTCTTTATCCATTTTTTGCAGCAATTCCACTTTTTGTTTGTTAGACATCGAAACATACTTTCGTTTTGTAGATCCTTTGGAAGTTCCAGCATCAGAAATTCTATTTGACATAATCGAAAGTTCAAGTTTACTTTTATAAAATTGCTCTTACAGTCTGCAAAAAATAATAAGCGGGATCCAATTCGAAGTTTAAGGAACAACGCAATCATTAACATTAACTGAAATATATAATTAGATAATTTTAGCTTACACCGTCTGTTATACATTAAACACGCAGGCGAAAACGTATTCTGCACTTGCGCACACGCATATGCGCAGTAGTCAAGGTCTTACGCGCACGCGTAAAACGGCTGTGCGCATGTGCCAAAGCGGCGCATGCGCAGAAAGTTTTTAGCTTTGAGGTCCGGATTATAGATCATTCCGGATTATGGGTGTCCGAATTAACGACTTTTGACTGTATTCACTGTAATTATCTTGACTAGAAGAGTAACTGTGTCTAACTTTATGATACTTAAGTTTATACTTTATTATTAGTTTTTAAACAACTGGATTATAGTAGTCATCTCACGATCTGTGACTGCTTAATCCATGAATGCTTGTAATCTGTTTGCTCATCTTTGGATGAAAACAGACAAAGTTTTGAGTTTTAAAAAATTTAGTAATATTAATGGTAATTTATGATATAAATATGCAAATAAACTTCCTAACAAAGTTACAGTATGTTTATAATATATTTTGCGAGAAGCGAGTTTATTTTGTACTGAAGTTATTTAGAATTTGCTTTGTAGGTGTAGTCACTCTTTTTAATATTGGGAATTCTTGCTTTCATTTTAATTAAATCGTTACTTAAGGCTGTACATTTGTCTTTTAAAATTTTGAGTTCAAGTTTCAATACTTTATTTATCTACAACTTTGCAGGCATTGAATTGCATCTGGTTTGTATACATTCCCCACAAGCTTATTTACATCAGTTGTGAATAGTAGTAGATACTTAAAAATAGAATCTGTAGAGAATTTCTGTTGCTAGAAATAGAAATTATGGTAACAAGCAGTTAAAAATTTTCTTTTAAAAAAACAAAATTTCAATTTTTGTATGCTGCAGATAGTGTTCTTAAGCTAGTTAATTGTACATGGACAATACATAATAGTATAATTAGATATGAATTCAACTAGAGAAAACAAATAAATGCTTGAGATTTTGTAAACAGTGTGTTTATGCAATTATCAATTTTTCTTCTTGTTCAAAAGTGTAAAAACTACTTTGAAAGACATTTGTTTGGATGGGTATGCAATTTTTCAGTCAGTACTTTGATGCATACAGTAGAGTCCTGCAAACTCGACATAATGTGGACTGAGAGATTGTCGAGTTTCATGGAATATGAGGTGGATTTTTCAGTGTTTAACAGTAAATTACTTCTAGACATTTGTAGCACAATATTGTACATGGAAAAAGTACAACACATAATTAATTTAATGTTTTTTTTTTTTTTTTCATGTGAAGTTCTAGCACAATAGGAATCATAAAAAGAACAAATACCCTAGGTTAATTGAGTAAAAAAACTCGTGTACAAAAAAAAAAAAAAAAAAAAAAAAAAAAAAAAACTTATTAGTAAAGATTGGTAGAAAAGTATCATGGGATGGTAGATTGTCATTCACACTCATTCCGTCATCATGTAGCTTCAATGCATAGGCGCTGGAGGAACAAAATGTCCATACTAGATGCACCTTGCTTCTCCATGTAATGGTGCATTCTTTCATTGGCCTTCAGTCCTAAACTATGGGTCATCATTTTAGCTTTTCGGTTATTTTCAGTCTCTTTGTTTTTTATTCATCTTCATTTTTATCCACATTGTTTTTCACTGGTGCAACTATTTTTGCATGCCCTAAAATTTCACAATTTGTATCTTGTCCCATTCATTCTTCAACATTACCATCAGTAACTTCTTCGCAGCCTGGAACTTTCTTAAGTAAGTGAACTATTTCACAGTCTTCTGTCTCTTCTCATCTTTTTTGTGTAATTCGTTTTCTTAATGGTCTAGCAACTTTCTCCAGGAACAAATGAGGCTTGTCTGCTCGTTATCACTCCAAGAATGAGCTATCCATCCAACAACATCTAACATATTTATTTTTTTCAGTTTCTCCATTACATCACAACCTTCCTCCATGGGTAGGACAAGACATGAAAGAAGTTTACACCTGTATTTTTTTCTTCAGTCCCTTCAAAATGCCCTGGTCCATCAGCTGACACTCTGAATTTATGTTAGGAGGGATAAACATGTCTCATATCTTCATCTCATAACTGTTCTGCATCAGGAAGGGATAAGGCATTGTCTAGAATGAGAATCGAATAGAAATAGAATAGAAATAGATTTTTAGATTTAAAATAATTTCTGCCGATGGAACAAACTGCTGATGACACCAGTCGTTAAATATTGCTCCATTCATCCATGCGTTTGATAGGTTCCGGTACCAAACAGCAAGATCGTTGTCGATTTTGGTTCCATTAATGTACTTTTGTACATTTTTAAATGTCCGGGCATTTTTTGGTGCTAATTTTAGCTTATGGCTGCCTTTTTTTATTGCTGCATGCCAAAATTTTGACTCTTTTCTTGCTTTTTTTGTAGCCAGATGCAGATTTGTCATGCTAGGAAGCCAGCGCTTTCAAAGGTAGCATTCGAAAATTCATCCCGGTCGCATCTCGGTTATAAGTTTGATCTCCAGATGAACCTTCTTTTTCAATTATTTTGTGGAAATTATTCTTTAATATTGCAGCATTTTCCAAGTTAGCAGATAGCTTTTCCTCACAAACGTTTAACTGTCTGATACTGGTACTGCTTTTTCCATTTGTCGAGTCAGCCAGCACTAGCAGTAAATCCAGGCTGTCCTTGAAATTCATCATAAAATTTTAGGTGTTTCTCTTGTAAAATTGCTCATGAAATGGGTGTTCCTTGGTGGCTTTGCTGCCTGAACCACAAACAAAGTGCCTCGCTCACTTTTTCGTATTCACCACCTTTCATACATTTTCTTTTTTTTAAACTATCCATACAAGCTCATTTTACACACGAAGACTCGATTTCGGACCTCTTTTCGCACTGTATCAAAGTAGTCCAACACCTAAATCCATTGTAATTTTGTTTACACTTTCCCCTTTGTCCAGTCTCTTTAAGGTGTATATAGTTTCATTTCCATTCCCAAGTTAGTTTTTCTTTTCAAACTGCATTTTCACTTCACAGAATTTCAAACGTTCCTTAAAATGTGTAACACTTATACATCTGGATGTGAACTGAGGAAGGAAACCCACAATGAACTGTTATGAGTTTAGTTTTTTGTAAGATGCAGTAACAAAACTTCAGACAAGTCTCGCAACATTTCACAACAATAGAAAGGAATGTGAGTCATGAGCCAGCTGGTACCTGACTTTCTTCATATCCTCGTATTAGGCAATTCCAAGAATTAATGGCACATTGAAAAAAAAAAAAAAAGGGGGGGGCAAAATTTACAGAAAAAGAACACTCAAATATTTGAACAGAACAGGAAAGACATGCACATAAATAATATGTACTGTATGTAATATCTGCTCTGTTTGGCCTAGAGATATCCTTAAAAAGTTGTAGTTATATGGAATGTTGAGATATCAGGTGCCGAATTTGCGGGACTCTACTGTATTTGCAGAATTCTTTGCAGCTTCAAAAAGCTTTTTCTTTAATTTTCCCTTTTTCTCTCCACTACATTTTCCTTTTGCATTGACATTTTCTTTGTAAAAGAATGTACAAAGTACATTGTTTGAAAGTTATAATAAATTTCTATTAAACAAATCTTGAAAATACTTAAAATTTAAGCTTGTGTTGCTTAGTTATTTCTGTGCAAGCAATCCAAATTTGAAATTAGTGCAGAAGAAATATAAACAAAACTTCAGTAGACATGACTTGTAATTCACAAAATGTACTAATACACACAACCCTTAGCATCACAGAAGATCAGGATTCTGTTTGTATGTATTTCTTGCTACAAATTGAATGCTAAAATTTATTTTTCTGAAAATAATTTCTAAATTTACATTTTATTTGTAGAGCATTTGACATCACTTATCCAGGCTGCTGAAGAAAATGATATAATTTTCTTCTATGCTCTTTCACCTGGCTTAGATATAACATACTCAAATCCAAAGGAAATTACAGCTCTGAAACGTAAATTAGAACAGGTGAGTATTGAAACTTTTTGTATCTTCAATTTGATGTTTCGTGCCATAAATTTTTTAGATTATCAAGGTTAAAAATTGAACTTTAAATACTTTAAGTTTTGAAAAGTAAATTTTAGAGGATGTTGTGAGTAAATTTTAAACTTGTTTATACATAACGATATGTTGATTTAAATTTCTTTTATGCTCTGATCTATTCAGAACATTCCCAGACTTTTTTTGGGGACAGTCTTAGAATTAGTGTTGTCATTGAAGTACTTTTCTTCTTGATGGATGTGCTCCTCCAAGTGCCATAACTTGCCCTTGAAGCAAACCTGATAGACTTTTTTTGTGTATAGTAAATTTTCCTAGATATCAACAGTCATGTGAAACTTCCATCCTTAAAAGTGGGTTTGAACTTTGGAAGAAAAATGTCTTTGGAGATTTGGTGAGTAGGCATATTGGAAAAAATGTTTATCTCCATTTTGCTTCCTTAGTCGCAAATAAACAGCTGTTTGTATGTGTGGAAAGATTATTATGATCAAAAATCAAAGGTCTATTTATCAGCAGTTCAGTCTGGATGTTTTATTAGCAGATTACTGTTTGCACTGGTTTCTTAGGGACACCCCATCAATGTCAGAAAATGCAGTCAGTGTGATCTCGGATGTAGATTTTCTTCTTACCTGGGGGAATGGCTGAATGCCATTGTTGCTGCTTTAATGAGAGAGAATTATTTTTCTGTCGAAATTTTTATGTGGGTTCCATATCGCATCAGACTGGAAAATGTATGACTATGAATCGTATTTTTTGCTCATAATGATGATGTACTTGTTTTTATTTTCGCTGACCCAAATGGCTATTCCATATGTCATATGGGTATATATATACCATATGATTCTATGATTATGTAGTCAGTTGTGGTACATGTATTGAATAGTACTTTGTTTTGCATATTTTATGTATTACAATGACACATCATATTCCTTATGACATGTAATATGTTGTTAGACGAATTTTCAGATGATGTCGTGAAAAAAATAATAAATTACTCTCAATCTAACTTAACTGACATCATGTACTTCCACTAATAAAAAATATTTTAGTACCTACAGCTTGGAGTTTTCTTAGAACAGTAGGTATAGGTAGTAGCTGAGTTTGTCATGTTACAGCTTTGTATTTTATTTACTCTAAAATTCCTGTTCCGTATTTTTGTTTTTCCTGTATTTTTTTAATAATGTTTTATTTGACTAAGATAAATTTAAAATGAAGATTTCAGAAATATTGCTGTAGTTGTTTTGTACTTCATGTCTTTTTGAGTATCTGTTCATTTAGCCTAATTTCAATTTTTTAAAATTAAGAAAATAGTGGTTTTCATGCAGTGGCGTAAAAGTTAAAATTTTTATCTGAAGCCATTGTTGAAGTTTGAAACTGTCATCACTATATTTATGAACTAAAGCAAATTTAATAAAGCATAGGAAACAGGTGATCTGCAGTATTATGCTTCTGATATAAAATATTTTTTCAGCTTCTGTTAAGATTGTTATTTGTAAATTTTTGTAAATTTTTAAAACTATGTATTCGTAGGTTGGTCAGTTTGGTTGCACTGCATTTGCTCTTCTCTTTGATGACATAGAACCTGAGATCAGTGAGACTGACAAGGAAGTGTATCAGTCATTTGCTCATGCTCAAGTTGCTGTAGCAAATGAAATATACGAGTATTTATCTCATCCCAAATTTATTTTTTGTCCGACAGGTAATTATTAAAAATTTTTTCCTGAGTCTTGTAAATGAAAATGTGTGAAAATTTCAAGCATAAAAACATGTATACATTTGGTCAAAAAAAGTTTTTTAATTAGATAAAAAATAGATGTATATGTGATCTTTTAAAATTTCAAAAACTTTTAAGATATGCTTGCAAAATTTTTTTGCCATAAAAATATGTTAAATGTGCGACTGTTGAAAGTTGCTGAAACTTCATAAATGTATTTTTAACCAACAGCTAATTCTAGTAACTGGCTACCATTAGAAATTCATCGGAATTTTGAAATTTATGTATCCCTTACAAAATCTTTTATGGAAGTATCTTTTCTGAGGTAGACAGCCCTTATGCACCTTACTGTAAATAAATAGCATGTAGAGATCCTCATTTTTATCTATTCACTAAGTACTGAGGAACCTAGTGAACACATTAACCGAATAATCACTTAAATTCAGGAATAGAAACGTAAACTCAAGAAGGGTTAAATATCCTTTATTTCTCAAAATAAAGATTAACACATAGTTCCATTCTCAGGATGTACAATGAAGCCTCCACTTGGGCTTAAGCTCAAAATTATAAGAAATAAGAACTTAACTAATGACCAACTAAAGAGATTTAGCCGCTAACACAATTTCTAAACTAGTCGATTCGTAATATTAAATTAGCTAGTGAAGCTATAAAGAGCACTTAAATACAGCTAAGCATAGTAACAGCTTAAAGAGACATAGCCAAAAGGCAAATGCGCGCTATTCAAGAAATCTAACTCTGTCTGTCGAAGTCAGTGTAACTTCGACTTAAATATTCTGTACTACCCATTTGCATTTAAGGTGATTTTAAAAACTCATTCAAATAAGGAATTGTAACTGAAGCTAGAAGAGGCAGGAAAGGTGAATAAAACTAAAAATAAATTATAAACCTTACTAGCAAATTAACCAAATTTAATTTTCAATTGGGTAATTGTTAAATATTTCAGGTTTGTGAGGGTCATTTAATAAATTCTAAGCCTCAGTGTGATGTAATACTTGTGGGTTGATAAAATATGGTGAAATCGTTACATCATCCTCTGTAAGTATAAAAAAACACACACAGCAGGTTTTATTATTTTATGCTTGAGAGGCTGTTGATTATTCTTAGTCACTGATGTTTGTTAATATTGAAAATATCAAACATGATTTCATGATTGAGTTCTTAACTAAAAAGGCAAAACACTGACAAAATATTATGAATGTGTGATTGCAGTCTATGATAATACATGCCTTCATTATTTTTTATTGAATTCTTCAAAAAAGGCAGAGCATCAATAAATATTCATGAATGTGTCTTCGTACACACCACTGCTGTTTCCCTTGCATCTATTAAAAGGTGAGTTGTAATTTTTAAGCAGGGAGAGCAAAAAGTACTTGAAAATAATTTCAGATCAGGTTGCATTGTATAACTGATCACTAAAAAATGCTTGCTAAAATCAAGAATATGTGATTGAAATAAATGAGTGGCAGTTTCTTATAGACTGTTCTTACTGTGGAGATTATCATGAATATGTGTTAGTGTAGAGTCACTGAAAAAACAAAATTCTGCATATAGAGCTTAGGATGTTGAAAATTTGTGCCAGATATTGGAATATCGACACTAGAAATAGAGAAACACGGAACGCACTGCATGATAAATGCTAATAAAAGTGACAGAGGAAAATGGTTAACTTTTGTTACCAAAAAAAAAAAAAAAAAGATGTGTTGTGGAGATAATAGTGTACCCTTTTAACTTTAGAAGTTTAGAACCCAGAATTCTGCCAGGAAAAATTTGGGCACCATTTGGGGAATAAGCAGGATGTTAACTAAAGTCATTAGAATCTGAATGCTCATCACTAGAAATAGAAGAAATAGGATTAGTAAAAGAGAGTTATCGTGTATGGGATCAGTGGGTGTGTCCGTTAACTGCACTTCCAATGGAAAGACTCGCTGAATAGGACGAAGCAGCGTACCAGCTTGAGTCTTTAGTTCTACAGTTCTCACCTTGCCATCTTTCCCAGGAATTAGTCGAATGACCTTAGCTAAAGGCCAATGCATCCGTTTTTTGAGGTCATCTCCTATTAGGACAATTTCACGCAACCATAGCTCTGACGATGGACCCTTCGTATTTTGTACCAGAAGGCCTAAATATTCTTTCCTAAATCTATCCCTTAAATCATTAAGCAGTTTTTGGCGATGTCTAGCCCGTTTTCGAAGACCTTTCGAATTGCAGAAATCAACATCGGGAACACCTAAGCTATGATTCTCGATGAGAAACATGGCTGGGAAAAGTGGGATTAAATCATCCGAATTTTCAGACAGATAGGTAAGAGGTCTAGAGTTAATTATTGACTCACAGTCGCACAATACTGTGTACAACTCCTCGGTTATAAGAAGCGCATTACTGAGTATCCTTTCAACAGTTCCTTTACTACATGAACTAACTTCTACCAGCCGCTTGAAAGCATATCTGCTAGGTTTAAATCACCTGGAACATGGCGCCAACACTGAGAAGGAATCAGACTGTTTATTTCTTTTACTCTATTCACAACGAACAATTGACCAATCACCACGGTTTTTAATCCACTAGAGTGCTACCATAGAATCACTCCATGCAATAATTTTCAAATTAGGCAAATCTAAGGTGGCATATATCGAGTGAACCAGTGTCGCGCCAGTGCAACAGGCCATCAATTCTAACCGGGGTATTGTCAGAGATGTTAATGGCGCTACCCTGGATTTGGCTCTGATCAATCGAATTTTGACTCCCACGGGCGTTACAGTTCTAATGTAGACACATGCACCATAGGAGCTCTTACATGCATCAACGAATAGATGCAGCTCTGAATTCTCATTTATCTCTACATATCATGGAATCCTAATTTTCTCAAGATATTTAACTTCATCCTGCCATTTCTAAAAAGTTTTCTGAATGTTATCTGCAAGGGGTCATCCCATTTTAATTTCATAGTCCAAGCCTCTTGTAATAGTAACTTAGGTAACAAGGTAGTTGGACTCAAAAAACCTGTGGATCAAAAATTTTATGTAGCATAGCCAAAATATTATGTTTACTTATCTCATTATCCATTGAATAATTAAGATAACATTTTAATGTATCGTTATCCGAATCCCATAAGATTCCAAGAAGAGAAGTTATACCTGAACTATGGGAAATACAATGACCTGGAACATTACTTTCCCAACCCCATATGTTAAAACATCCCCGAGCCATTATTTCTGTCGCCTTAACTATAAAATTTTCTTGTCTGTTTGATATCGTGAACCCCAGTGACACAATTGTCAACATAAAATGAATGCTTTAATTTTTGGTTCACATCGTCAAACTCGGCAGGGGAATTATCCAAGAGATGCTTTATCGATGTAGAGAGTTGGAACGGAGACGAACAAACTCCGAACACTACTCTGCAGTGTCTGTAAATCATAGGTTCTTCAAGAGTTGGAAGAAAAAAACCTCAAATAATCTTCTAATATCAATAATGTTCTGGGATAATACTCAGCTGAAGAAATGCTTTCTTTATATCTGATGATAAACCAACAGAATACAATCTATACCTGTCAATTATATCAGGTATGAGTTCAATTAAATTCGGCCCTCTATTTAAACAATCATTTAAGGATGGTTGATTTCTCTCTCGGGCTGAAGCGTCGAACACCGGCCTTACCTTCATTGTCTGGCTAGTATGCTTTATAACTGGTCTATGGAACAAATAATAACTCAAATTATCAATTTCAGTTTCAGGAACCTTTTCTATTATTTTTTGATCTTCCCATTGCTTAAAAACTACCTTATAGCCATCTAACTGATTTTCCTCATTAATTCATTGACACATCCTTTGATGTCTTTTAAGTCATAGACAATAGGCAGTTAGGTAACAGAATTTCAGATTTAAAGGGTAGTGACAATTTATATCAGCCATCAGGAAGAACATTTAAATTCTCTTTAAACTGCTTAACGGTGTCAGAGTGAGCAAGTTCACATTTAACATCTTCAGTTGGGTCTGTTATGCCAATGGCATCTAAATTCCAGAGTTCAGTTACGCTAAAATTGGCACAGTGCAACGAAACTACATTATTGTGCAAATTATTTTGTAGAAATGCTGGAATAATAGCTGAAGAAGCTTTACCAATCACAGTGTATCCGAATTTAGTCTCAACTACAGTTACACCCCAGTTCAGTTTCAGAGAGCTGCCAGTAATAATGTCCCCGATGGCATCTGCTCCTAAAAGCAAGTCAATGCCATATTCTTTAGCTTGTAAATCAGACAAGGTAATATTTCTTTCTTTTAATTCTTTCAGGGTATTGTGATCAACTACTTTTGGAACACATCCACATATTTTGTTTTGAGAAAGAACTTCAAAGTTATGGTCATAAGTGCCCTCAAAATTCCTTAAATTAATATCAAACACTAAATGGGAATGAGGACTTGTCTCTCTCTCTCTCCCCAAACAAACCGTGTATAATGGTTTGTTTTGATTTAGGACGCAGTTGCAAAAACGTTATGACTCTTTCTGAGAGATAAGATTTCTGAGAACCACTGTCCAAAATCGTGCGAACTGCAAGTTGTCTACCTTTGAATACTATTTTTAAAACAAGTGTTTGCAAATACACATTTTCATTAACAGTTGACTGATTAGACAATACATTACTTGAAATAACAGTAATGTCAGTTTCATTTGGATTTACAGGTTCGCCATTTGAGCACATAATGGTATAGTGAAATTTATAAGTTAAACATTTTACTTTATTTTTGCATGCTCGGGAACTATGTCCAAATCGTAGGCATCGAAAACAGGTGCGCTTTTGCACCAAAAGCTTTTGTTTATCTTCTAAAGATATTTTGTGAGCAGAAAAACATTCATCAGAATTGTGGGATTTCTCACAAAAAGTACAACAGGTAGGTGAAATACCTACTTGTATTGTCTTGAACATTTACCAAGGCCGCAGCCGTAGAGGAATCCACATCATCGGAATGTGGACGCGAATGTGCAGAACATGAAGCTCCCAGCCCAGTACGAGCAAGCTTAATCATTTCCTCACTTTGCACTTCGTTTCGAAGAAAGCACAAAAGTTTATCCAAAGAACGCACATTATCTTGCTGTGACGCAGTATCTTCCATCGAGCAGCTTCTTTCCCACGCACGAAGAACAGTCTCTAGTAAACAGGACTCAACAAGTGGTTCCAAAAATTCTGCAAATTTTTCCTTAGTTCTATCGAGGCTTTCGAGTGCCATGAGCTTGCTCTCAAGTAAATCTCATAAAGTTCAGCTAAATCTCCTTTGATTCTACCAGCAGCATTTTTCATTACTATGGAAAGTAGATCCCATACAAAAATCTGAACCAAATGTTCATCTCTCCCGAAGCGTTCTTAAGTTGTGCAATCACCTTTGAATAGTTTTCTTTAGTTGGCAGAAAACTTGTTACCAGTCTTGATGCTTTAGAATCTGCTGCCACACATTGTAACTCATATTGAAATTTGTCTTCATCCACAATAGAATAATCTTTGTGAATTTTTTCAAACTGGTACCAAATGGCAAGAAAGTCTTTCGGTTCTCCACTAAATTTCCTCAATTTGGTTTCAGAAGCTTGAATTTTCTTTTTTGCTCGGTTGTTGTTCCTTCCGTAACCGAATTTTTCTTCTTTGCATTTTCTAACAGCGAACAAATCAATCAGAACTTGACTTGGTATTCTTGGTATTCTTCTGCTTTCAAAAAATCTTTGGAATATTTGTCTTGAAGGGCATCATCACTTAGCAACAAATTCGAAACTTCTTGAGTTGTTTCCAAATGCGTGAATTTGTCCTGAATCTGTTTAAACAACGTACTGACTTCGTCACTTCCTAAATTTTTGTTTTCGATCTTCTGAGCTATATTGCTGCAGCATACCGTAAATGCTGTTCTCAAGGACTTTCGTTTTGCTTTCAAGACTTTTATATCCATATTTCATCAAAAATATAAAGTAGCGGATGCCAGATTTACTATGTTGCAACTCTCAGAGCTACAACGTGCAGGTTACAAATTTAATAATCTCAGCAGGGATTATTAATATAAAGATTATAATATGGATATCTCACACAAGTGGGAAAACATGACATTACTCTATCAAGTGCATACATATAACTGAGTGAAAAGGGAATTTCCCTGCTTAGTTCGCAGTTAAAGAAAAAATAAGAGTGATAAAAAATAGTCCAATGAAATGCAGCGCTCCTCCTGTCGATTTCGCACAGCCGTTACGTAATCGTCTGTCTGCAGCAGCCGTCTCCAACAAATTATTTGAAGGGTGATATTTAGAAATACATTGAAACAGTGTTTTCTGCATTAATCCAGTCCTTAACAGATTACTGTGCTGTATGCATTGACATTAAAACCATCTAAAAAACCAAGAAAGTAATTTTTAGATGTTTATCTTGCATAAGTGTATTAAGCTTTAATTTGTGTTGAAGCCCCTGTTAAGCTTAACCCTTTGCGGCGCACTATACGTTAGCGTTGGAATTTCAACAAAAATAAGTTGTATGCTGTCTATTTAGTCCTAAAGGAGAGTATACAGGTAAAATTTTGTAAAAATTGCATGTACCATTTTAATTCTGTGGGTGTTCCAAGAGGTGGAACACTGCGCCGCCAGAGCTTTTAAAAGTGCGACTAAGCGAGCATTACAGTGAAGCACGAAAATGAGTAGAAGTGTTTGTATAAGAATGAAAAAACTGTATTATGGCTGTATCCATGGTTTCCTGGATATACACAATATTCTTGAATATATACGGATAAATGAGATAAATATCTATATACACAACTCCTATATTAAAAAAAATATTTACAAATTTTCAGAAAGAGTTAGACCTCTCCGCTCCATTTATGGAAAATTAATGATAAAAAAATTAACTACAATTAATATTAACAATAAAGAAAAACAAGCCTATAATATATACATACACGAAAAATATCTACACAGTTATTGAAAATAAATGGGAATGAGACTAAAATGCGACAGCAAAAAATTCGCGCAGGTCTAAGTAAAGATGAGTCAAGGTACTAATAAAATTCCCGCCTAAAAACTACCAAAAAATTCGAGATGCCAATATTAGAGCTTTCATAACACAAAACACACCTCACCCCTCAATACTGCTTTGTTTGAATTCATTCCCCCCCCAACAAAACAACGGAAACAGAAAACGTAAACGTGGTGTTCTCTCCTAAGCACAGATGTTCTGATTCGTAACAGCATGAGATCGCTAAAGGCGCAGTGTTCCCGCTAATGGAACACCCGGTTTCATTCAATGATTCTGCATAGGGTTTTTGTATGAAAGATTAAAAAAGAATATAGAACAAATAATTTGGAGTATGGCCAGCAAAATTATGCCTAATTTTTTTTCCAAATAAAATTTTTTATATCATTAAAGAAATAGAGAAAATTACTTGAAAAAAAGTGGATTTTAATAACACATAATAAATGAAAATTCTGTGTCTCCTTGTGATATGCTGCTATCTAATGTTCAAAAAGGAAAGTTCAAAGTATATTATAAAGGCATTTTTATCTATTTACAGTTGAATTTAAAGGTTTCAGAAGCGTTCAATTTGGGTGTTCCATGTAGTGGAACATTGAGCTGCAAAGGGTTAATCCTTATTGAAGGCCCCATTATCGGTGTAAGGAAGTGTTTTAGTGATAAACATAAGTAATTTAATAATGTATAATCAGACATGCATTGAATTGTTTATCATAAACGTCCTTGCTTTCAATTTGTTTGTAGCCACAATATTACTTTAATACTTGCATTAAATTATATTAATTAGATTTCAAAATTTTTTCTCACATCACTGTATGTACATTTTTCATTTCTTCATTTGCAGAATATTGTGCTGCCAGAGCAATTCCAAATGTTCAGAATTCTGAATACCTCAATACAATTGGACAAAAATTACACCTGAATATTGATGTCATGTGGACAGGTAAATTTTTGTCAAATGTATAACATTCTCTAGACAGTATATGTTGAAACACTATATTTAAAGATAATTTGAATGAAATAAGGGGAAGACAATAAAACTAAAAAAAATAAACCTTGTAAAGGGAACAGCTTCTAAAATAAGACTTGGCATGTATTTAACCCTCTGACTGCTCTGATTTGTGGACCGAAAACGCTTCCAAAAAAAATTTTTTTTTTTTTTTGCATATTTTAAATCTATATATGTATAGGCGAATTGAAAAATGCACTTTTCTTTCTAGAAAATATTTTTTATATAGATTTTTATCATGAGAAACTTAAGTTGCCAGAAAAACCAATTTCAGATGTTATCACACACACAAAAAAAAACTTTTTAAAATAAATTTCAGTTGAATAACAGTTAATTTCTATTTATTGTATAATATAAAAAAGTAAAATTTAAGAAAATATAAAGCGCTGAGGGGAAAATACCTTAAAAATGCAGTTTAGTATGATAGAGTTTAAACTTCACAGTCTTTGCACCAGATTCAATAAATCTAATTAATAATCAATCTAATTATTAATCTAATCAATAATTCAATAATTTAATTAAATAATTAAGATAATCACTGAACATTTTCTAACAGCCATTTCTGTAAGGAAAAAGCGGCAAAAAGTGAAGTTTGAGCGCTAATACCACGTGCCTTCAAATGCCGCAATTTAGTGGACAACTGAGGATATCTGTTTGCCAAAACGTAAACTAAATACCTAATACTGTATGTAATTTCTTTCAATGGTTAAACTGGGAAAAAATGGGATGTGCTCCTCAATAAAGGAAGAAAAACATATGCCTGCGGAAATCGCAGGATGAGCAAATTTTGCTAGATTTGATTTGCCCGTGGAAATTGTGGGATGATCAGCCAGAGGGTTAATAGAAGTCTGGAAGTATTATCGCTATACAAAATATTATAGATATCATTAACATAACAAAACAAGATAAGCAAAAGAAAAAAGATGCTTTTCAACAATTGTAGAATATGGTCGTTCTGCTCAAAATAAGAGCAGATATGATGCCACTATGGAATGGTATCTTCTTTAATATTTTTGTATATTTAGCATCTTATGCAATGCCGTCCAACTAAGCATTTGAGGGTTTGGGGGGATTCTGTCCCATTCATCTGAGAGCAATTTTGAGTTCCTGTGTTAGAGAAGATCTCTATATTTGAGTGAATTCTTCTCAATGCATTTGAAGTATAAGTATATTGTATGTAATTGAAGCCCATAGAATATGCAGGCCATATCATGCATTTGATATTTTCCTATGCATGTGTGTTGAAAACTTCAGCTGTTCTATGCAGGTGGGCATTCTTATTCATAAATACTAAGTTTAGACCTACTGCATCATGGAAAAGATGGACATGACCCAAAAGAATTTTGGTGCAGTACCACTGTGCATCCATCAAAGATGTGAAAGTTCTTCTGTTGCTCATGATATCTACCCGCACAATATGCTGTTTGGTCATAGCAATAATTTTCATGGACATTCTGGTGATGGTAACATGTTCTCTATCTCCGCATTAATTTGCATCCAGAATCACTATTAATGGTAAAGCAGGATTCGTGAGATAACGTGATTTGGGACCACTGTTGCTGACTACAAGAAATATACTCCATACAGTAAATGTAGTTTTTCTCGACAGTAATGTCCTCATAGCAGAATGTATACAACAGACCTTTCATGTATATAAGCCAACATTGTTTAGTTGCAGAGAACTGAATTTTGCAGATATGCAAATGCAGTAGCAATTGGCAAGGTCTGTAGATGTCTCGTGAGGAGCAGCATTTCTATTATTTTTCACCACTATGTTTATGCATCTATACTCTTCAGATGTGGTGGTTCTGCTGTGGCCTCCAGCATACTTTCGCACAGCAAATCTAACTGTGGGCAGCCTTGTTTAACTGAGCTCACTAGGTGAGTGATAAAGCCACTGAACACTTGTAGTTTGACCTGGGTTTGATTCCAGCTGACATGCTGGCTCTTTGGCTGTTTTTGTGATTTTCCTATGTGTAATTTGAATGTGAGCCAGTTTACCTTAAAAAGTCCTCTATGAAGGCATCTCCCCTTAGATTATCTTCCCTTACATTGCAGTCCCTACTGCCTGTCAAAAATGAAAATTTACAGTAATATTTTCAAGAATTGTTGAAGTGATTTTTCTCTCAACCTTGGAAACATTGCAAGTGCACTCTTTTTCATGCAGATAAGAGGTCTTGCTTTGCATTACTCTTTACACTTACTTTTTTCTACTATTCTGTGGCTGTTGTATTTTACTGTTTAAAAACAGTTATGAAACAACCATGTCAGCACTTTTCTGGTATGTAAAATATAATTAAATTTCAGATTGTGCTCTAAATTGGAAGCTGTTATCATATGGAATGTATAAAATTTGTTGAGGTTCAAGGATGCATTTCAAAATCTTATAAAAAAAATATTTTTTTTTAAGTGAACTCCATAAATCCCAACAAAAATTTACTGTTTTAAAAAATGGCATTTTTACTCAAATGATGACATTATGAAAACTGAAGAGACTAACAGATTTTACCTTTAAAAAAAAATACTGAAAAGACTCTATGAGTGGAAATAGTTCAAGAAACGATGCTTAAGATCACTTATGTTAGTACTAAATGTTCTAGTAGTCAGCAGATTACAGTTAATTTTTATGCTTTTGTTTAGTGTTATATATGTGATTTAATTGCAAATAATGCCTATGAAATCCTCTTTTCCAAATAGGTCCAAAAGTTATATCAAAGGACATTACAATTGAATCGATCCAAGAATTATCTGAAGTATTGCACCGTCCACCACTAATATGGGACAATTTGCACGCAAATGATTATGACCAAAAAAGGCTGTTCTTAGGTCCATATTGTGGCAGATCTACAGAACTTATCCCTCGCTTGAGAGGTGTCCTCACAAATCCTAACTGTGAATATGAAACTAATTTTGTCCCCATTCACACCCTTTCTCAGTGGAGCAAGTGTACTGTAGATGGAAAAAGAGAATTAAACATCAGTAAGCAAATCTTTACTAATACTTAAATAATACTTAATACTTTACTAAATATTTTTGATATTTGAAATTATCTTAGTTCCAAGTATGAATTTCTTATTTTTTTTCACTTTGTAGGTGAATCTGTGAGTGCAGATATTAAACTTGAAACAGAAAATGAAAATGGTTCTGTTGAAGACATTCCTTCTCATCTAAGTCCAAATACATACCATCCTAAGAATGCTCTAAAACTTGCCATTGAGGACTGGTTGCCTGAATTTTACAAAGCTAAAAATGCATTTGGAAGATTAATAAGTGCACCTTTGGTACCCACACCTATACCTGCATGTCCACTCCCTGTCATTACTGCTTGTTTTTCTACAGCTACTCTTCCAACTCCAAGTGCTTCTGGTCGTGCCAGTCCTGTTTTAGATTCAGCCTTTCAGCCATTATCAAATGAACTAGTAAATTCATTGATAAGTCCGAAAGAAGTTGGTAATATGGAGCCAATGGATTGCAATCCCTTACCATCTTCTCCAAAACATGACCCATGCATTCCATCTAATGTTATCTTGCCTACATCTCCAAAATGTGAAGAAGAAACTGATTTGTTAAAAGAAGATACAGCAGAAGAAATGCAGACAGAGCCTATTGACTCCTCTTCCATTAATGGTGATACAGAAGGAAAGCAATTACTAGAAAGTGATGTTGTGTTATTAGTCGATTTATTTTACTTGCCTTTTGAACATGGTCGGCAAGGACTGAAAATTTTGCAAGAATTTCATTGGCTGAAATCTCATGGCTATCTTGTTTGCCAGAATCCAAGGAAGAAAGGAAGTGGATCTGATAATTCTGAAGTACAGGAATGGTTTAACAGAGCATCTAAATTTGATGCAATGACACAAGCAGTTGGAAAATTATTGATGCGGTTGACATTTTGTCCAAATCGTTCTTTACTTTATGATTTATATCCATACATCTGGGATATCAAAGGTGTAGTTTCCATGTTGAATTCGTATTTGAAATGGATAGGTAAGTTATCAAAAGTTCTGTATATACATATATATATAAATCGTATACATTTTTACATTTAATATATTTTCAGATATGATTGATATTTTTAAGCAATAGATAACTTAAGCAGGCTATTTTTTTATAGTTTTTTCTAACAAAGAATTTTATATTTAAATGGTTCTATAGATATGATGAAAGGTTCTACATCAGTCAATCTGTTAACCCTTTGTTGCTCAGTGTTCCACTACATAGAACACCAAACTTAAATCGCTTCTGAAACCATTAAATTCAATCGTAAAGGGATAAAAATGCCTTTATAATAAACTTTGAACTTCTCTTTTTTTAATAGTAGATGGCAGCATATCACAAGGAGACCCAGAATTTTCATTTATGATGTGTTATTAAAATTCATTTATTTTCTAGTAACTTTCTATATTTTTTTGTAATGCAAAAAATTTGTTTGAAAAAAAATTTCCATTTAATTTTGGTGGCTGTACTCTATATTATTTGTTATACATTTTTTTACATTTTTCATACAAAAAGCATGTGCAGAATCATTGAATAAAACAGGGTGTTCCATTAGTGGGAATGCTGCACCTGTAGCGATCACGTGCTGTTACGCATGAGAACATCTGTCTTAGGAGAAAACATCTTTTCCTATTTCCATTGTTTGGGGAGAATAAATTTAAACAAAGCAGTCTTGAGGGGTGAGGTGTGGTGTGGGCTGTGAAAGCCCTAATATGGGCATCTTGAAATTTTTGTGAGTAGTTTTCAGACGGGAATTTTATCAGTAGTTCGAGTCATCTTTACTTAGGGGAGAAGTGCGAATTTTTTGCTGTTGCTTTTTAGTCTCATTACCGTTTATTTACAATAATTGTGTAGGTATTTTTTGTGTATGTATATCTTATAGCTTATTTTTCTTTATTGTTGATATTAATTGCACTTAATTTTTTATTATTAATTTTCCATAAATGACATGTAGAGGTCTAACTCTTTCCGAAGCGCTAAAAGTGCTTCACGCATTACCCTCCGATTCTGAATCAGAGCATGAAGATAGCAGTGATACTGAGATATACATTCCTGAAGTGGTCATCACAGTAGCTTGTCAGATTAAACTCATTTATTTGATGAGAGGGTATATGATCCATCTCACTCAGGCCCCTTTACACAGCCTCAAGTTTTTACTTAAAATTCTAAATATATTGTTGCACGGAACAGAAGCCGCACAAAACAAGTTTTGGGTTCAAAACCTGCAAAGTTGGTTTGTGCTTCTATCAAAAATATGTGACATGCTTTGAAAATTTCACGAAGCTATGAAATCGAAAAACTTATAAATATTTTTGTATATAGGACTTGTGTATATACATATATTTATCTCATTTATCCATATATATTCAAGAAAGTTGTGTATATCCAGAAAACCATGTATACAGCTATAATAGTGTTTTATCATTACTATACAAAAACTTCTACTCATTTCCGTGCTTCACTGCAACGTTCACTTAGTCGCACTTTTAAGAGCTCTAGCGGCGCAGTGTTCCACCTCATGGGAACACCCACAGAATTGAAACGATAAATGCAATTTTTACAAAGTTTTATCTGTATACTCCTTTAAGCCTAGATAAACTGTATACAATTTTTTTGTTGAAATGCCGACTCTAAAGTATAGGGCACTACAAAGGGTTAACAGTAGATTGGTAACTGTATATGCATTTTATTTCCTCTTCAACCAATTTCACATTCTAGCAATGCCCTAGGTGGTCCCAAAACACACCTCTTGATTTTTGGTAATTGAATTAACATCATATGTTTTATTTATGTGCTTATATACTTTCCAGTAAATTCTTAACAGTATGTATAAATTCCCTGTATTTGTTACAAAAAATTATTTACTCTTGTATGGAATTCTTAGTGTGTTGCCGTTTTGTAAATGGGGCTGCCTTTCATACATTAGCATGGGAGAAAATTAAGTCACCGATGAGTTTGCAAATGCTCTCCAAACTCGCTAACAAATTCATGACTTTTCAGTGTGAGTGCAGATAATCAGAAAGTAACAAAAATACTAACTTACCATACACTTTCAAATGAAAATATTAATACACTTTGTTGAGCAAACAGGTGACAATTTCATAAAATCAAAATAAAATTGTTTTGCTTGTATTAACTATGCATTGTATGAAAAGTATGAATGTGTTTAAAGTCAGAAAAGAAATCAGAAACCATTTTTAATTGTGACTTTACGAAGACAGTGTATTTTAATATGAATTAAGTTTGTAGCTAAGAATATCAGTCCCACTGAGTTTTTTATTTCATATTAAACTGGTCAATGCATTATTTAATATGTATTCATTATTTAGAGATACACCAGTAAAATGAAATCCCCATCAAGAAACCCAAGAAATGTGATCACAAAGCGATGAATAAGAGAGTTCTGAAGAATAATGAAAGAGAAACCACATATTTTGCTTTTTTGGGTGGGGGGAATAACTTGAAAAGTTGCATGTGTTGTAGCTGCGTAACGAAAAGGATGAAGGCAGTACCTTTGCCAAATCAAGCTGTTAGAAAGATTCTCTTGTTACTTTTTTATATGCAATTTTCTTCCTCTTTGTTTTTTATAATAAGCTGAATATGTAGGAAAATAACTCAGCAATATGTGCCTTCTTTAATTTTATTTTTGCAGTTAAATTGATATATTACATTTAAGTTTATATTTTAAAGTTAGATATAATCATTTGTTGTAATATTTTAAAATGTATTAAAATTTTATGAAAACTTACAATACAAATTATGCACTTAAAATGTGTGTAGTTTGCTTCACTGTAGTCTTAGAAAAGCATCACCATTCTAGGCTTAAATCTTATGAGAGAGGTAATTTTTCAAGCTCTTCCATCACACATTATTAACATAACACTCTTACACAGGAATTGAGTGAATATGCTTTGCTAAATTAATGCAATATAACACATCAATTTAAAATATGGTAAAACTTTCATCCGAAAATTTTTCAACTGGATCACAATTTGAAGATCCCCCCGCTTTAATGTGGGCATAATGCTAATTGTAATAACTTACAAAAATATTTGCTTTCAGATGTTCCTAGTGGTTTCAGGTCATCTCTCTGCTGGCAAAGTTTATTTTGTTACTTTAGGCTTTATTTATCTGAATTTTGGGAATATGTTTTAAAAATAATGCGATGGTTCGAAATTTTAAAGCTCATTTTTTTATTACTGCAACTATACAAATTGGAAATACTTTTTTGTGTCAGTGCATTTTTATTAATTTTAACTGTGTATCTTAAGTACATTTTTAAGAGTTGCTCAGAAGTATTTTTCTGTATGACTTCTTTCCAATCAATTACTTTTTCTATATTTGACTTAAATGAAACTGTGGTAAGGAAGGTGGATAAGTTAAAAAAAAAATGCCCACTTAAAATAACCTGTATTGATGGTGTAACATAAGGAAACTGCTGAATGAACTGGACTGTGATTACTATGATGTTATTATCATTTGTAAAGCAGCATACTGTACCACACTTGTTATGGAATATCCTGCCTGAATGCAGCAGAATATCCCGGTGCAGTCTGGCAATTGTAGGGCTTGGTAAGCAAGTATGTTCAGCATTTCATAATGATGCAAGATAATGCCATCTCTCACAAAGTATGCAGCCCATTCTGTTTTGGTACCCTTCTGGATTTTGCCCCTTTGCTTTATTCTCACATTTTTCATTATTGTTCCTTAAAAACTTACATTTTGTGATAGCTGTTTTAGCAATACTGAACGACACTCATGGTATTGGGTAGGATAACTTTTTTTATGTTTTCCACAAGGGGTTTGATGATGCATGCTGTTATTAGTGATTATTCAGTTGATGGCTGATTTAAACTTATGACATTGTATTCCATCATTAGCCGCAACATTCCATAGAACTTTTCAGTGTCTTTAATAAAGTTTTAATCAAGTAGTGAACTGTTTATTATGTTTTTGTTGCACTTATCCTGCTGTACAGTAAATTTGTGCATGCTTAGTGCAAGTTTTTTCTTTGAGGATGAAAAGCCTTTATTTTTTTAGAAAGATTATTAAGAAATAAATTTGATAGCACTGGAAGTAAAATAGTGTATTCTGTATGGAATTTGAGTGGAAGCATTTAAAAGAAAATTAGTGCAGAAAAAACATAAACCTAATAATTTAGGAATATTCTTTGTTGTCCTGTAAGCATTAAAAAAATTGAATTCATTATTAAAAGTAGCTTTAAGGATGATCGCCATGCTAATTTAGTTTAACCATCAAATATTAAATTTCTGAAGAACATGATTCATTATCTTTAGATGTAAAAGTTAACTGCTGTTATTTGGGCTTTAAAAATTTCTTTCATGTTTAATAACTTTGTGCTTCAAATGTGTGATATATTATGTAATATAATAAGATTTTAGTATAGTGCTTGCAAGGAATTGTTGAGTATTCATCAACCTTTCAACCTAGAATTGTTGAGTTGCTTTGAAAAGAAATGTGATTCTTTTTACTCAAAAAATGATATTCCAATATTCTAATCAGTCCACGTAAGCACTTTAGAAAAGATTATTAAAACTTAGATTACCAGAGATAAACTTTTAGACAAGATTTTGTGTACTTTGGGTATTATGTACCTATAGCCTATACGTGTTTGCTGCTTCGTTTCCTCACAGCTGGTGAATGTGTATTAACAGACTGTTTCTGTATGCTCACATAAAAAAGCAAACTGTTCTTGCTGTTAGTTAATTATTTTTATGGCTCATCAAGCTTCTAGGACAGTTGTAACCCAGAGCTGTTGGGATCAGAATAAAATTTCGGGTAATCGATAATTAAACAAGGGAAGTTAAAATTAATTTTCATTTATACATTCCAATTTTTAATTCCACTTATTGAAAGTTTTTATTTGCCATAGCTTGAAAAATTGAATTTCTGTTGTGTCTATTAATTTTATCTTGTACTCATATTGACGGTCATGCCTTATTGCCATGCTACATAAACAAATGGAACATGGAAATACACCTACCACGTATGTTTTTGCACAAATGTGCTTTCAAAATTAGTTCATGTTGAATTTGTGTTTTGTATGTAGTTATTTCTAGTGTTAAATGTGGTACTTTGACTCAGTATGCCAAATGTAGTTGGTACGGAATAATTACTGTTCTGAGTGTCATATGTTTAGTTTGTAATCTGTGTATTGATTGTCACATGAAGTGTGAAATGTAATTTCATTATCAGGCAGTAAATGGATTTTTATAATTTTCTGCAGTCTCAAAGAATTTTTATTGATTTAATTACTTTTAAACTATTCATATGATTTTTTAATAGCAATAATATTGAACTCTCTTTTTATCTCCTCATTTATCATTTGATATAATCAATCTGAAATTGCACCTGGAATCTCATGAAACTGCACTTTGAAATTTTTGTAAAGGTGCAAAAAAGTCTTCCATTGAAAAATACTGTTTCTGTTTGATTTTTTATATGCCTGTCTGCAATGATTCAATACTTGATTTCTTTTTATTATGATATATTTGTTAGAGGAGTGAGATTGTCTATATTTTTTTGTATCTGTGTTGCAAGGCCTTCCTTGGCTGTTCATTATGTGAGCGTATTGCATACTTAAAAGTATTCTTGTACAAGAGCACTTCCTAGATTCATAATTTTTTTTTAATTTTGGCATAGGTTTAAATAATTTTACATGTGTGTTTTATAATTTCCTTTTTGCGTAATTTTATCACTGTCACTTCTGAATACATTACTCCTTTTTATAAAAGGGAAGATTTAGCAGTTAATACATTCTAGTTTGTGCAGAGCATGACTTACTGTATTATATTTTATTGCTACAATTAATTAAGGGTAAAAGTTCTGATTTGGAAAGTACATTTTATGTAAGTGGTGTTTATCCATTTAAAAGTTTGAGAGATGAAATTTGGTAAATCTGCATATCCTTTTACTTGGGATGTTTCATGTGATGAAAATTCTTACCTTACTGCACAGTTAGTGATTGTGAAATTTTAAATCGTTACTTTTGTTTACCCCACCTAATTAATTACATTTTTTTAGATTTTAATTTTGCTATTAAATTTGTTTTCAGAATAAGCCTATCATTAATTTTTTTTTTACAATTGTATTTTAATATCCAGTCTTAACCAGATGACTTGAGTTGTTTAATATTGTATCTATCATCACTGTAGGTTTGCTAATAATAAATTTTGTTTCTTTTCATTTCTTTAGCTCTACGACGAGTTCCAATGCCTGTGACCAGTTTCATGTCTTCTCCATTCACATGTATGCATCAATGCTGCCTTTGAACTTTTCTGTACTTGTGTTCTGTATGGTAACAGTTTTTACCATTGAAGCAAACCATTTTTTTTTATTACACAGTTGCGCATATGCAAGTTATGGATTTGGATACCTGCGCTGCAAATTGCAAAATCTAACATTATTATACAAATTGAGTGTTCAATAGGGAAAGATTCGCTGCAGTTAATAAGCGTAGCTTTGCAAGCATTTTTTATGCAATGCGCTGCCTAAAGATGCGCTCACTAATATATCACTTGCACTCTTATATAGGTAGATATATATGCTGCTGGATCTGAACTGAGATATTTCATTTGTTCTGTTTAAAAAGCTATGAAAGTATTGAACTCATTCTTTTTCATGTGTTGATTATATATCTTAAGTTGTGAGTAAAACTACAGTTGTAAAATTCAAGCACATCTTTCAAATTTTTGTGAATATTGGTTTCTGCTTTCATGGCTTTATAAAAAGAACTCTTCTCTAATTTTTTCTGGAATTTTCAGATGGAGTTGGTTTTTTTAAGTTGCCCGTCATATATATATATAAACTCTTATTTCATTGACTAGGAAAGCACATTCGAGCAAATTTTGTGGTTAAGAATTAAATAAATCTATGTATTTTGTGCAATATTTTTAGTATATAGTTTAAATTCTAAGGAGCCAATATACATTAGCAGCCCATTATTTTTATCATTTACACATCAAACATTTTTACAGCATGCTGAACTTAATTATAACACCAAATAATAGTGGCCATACATTTTTTTTTGAATGATTAATGGCTAAATAAATGAACTTCATCCAAAGTATAAGACAGCAACCTGTGTGTGACCTTTTATTTGCAGAATTTAAAATATCCTAACTTATAATGGTAAATTTACTGTTTATCATCATTTTAGATTGAGATCGTGGAAATACGAGAAATTTTTCAGCATTACTTCACTTCCTGTGAATTTGGTTGCAGTTGATAATGCCTATGTATTGGAATTGAAATGTAAAGCTTAGGGTTATGAAGAAATTTACTTGCATATTATTTTTAAAAAGTAATTGAAGCAAATGATTGCACTTGTTAAATTTCAAGTATAGTTTGCAGCTTGAATGTAATGTCATTTCTTTTTAATGAATTGATAATTCTTGTGTTTTTCAGTTTTAACTAAATAGGAAGAAAAGATGTGTCTTAATACATTATCTCATATCTCTGGATATGCTTATTCCTCTTAACAGTGCTTGGAAATATTGTACTGCACAAAGAATCTAATGGATTAGAATTTAGAAAACCATTTGAATGAAAATCATTCATGGGCATATTAAAAACAAGGATTCATGTTGAATTCTTGAAAATAGCAAAAGAGGCTGTGTACTGAGTGATATCATCTATGCTTATCTTAAGTTAACATCGCGTATTGATTAAGGCCACATGAATAGGTATGTGGAACTACAAAATATTAAATATGTAAGCATGAATGGGCTATTAAAGCATTTTAAAAATGTAAAAATGCAAAAAGGTTGAACATTTATATTTTCAAAGTATGTACATGCCCTGGTGTTAATTTTACCGATACATATTTTCCTATGTTGGCAAATATTATCCTGAACTTCGAAGAACCTATTCTTCAAAAGTTTAGTTAATTTATGTATGTGCTAAAAAACTGTAGAGAACTGCGAAGAATGATGAAAATAACAACAGTTATTGTAGTGAAAGTGCTGGGAACATGCTGACATGTAATTCTTTTAAAGTTATTGGACAACTGATGACTTGTGTTTAATTTTTTTGTTTTGACATTTTTCAGTAAGCTTGTCAGAACCTATTCTTTGGAATGAGGGAAGTATTTTATGTACTCTAAATGCCACTTTTTGCAGCTTATGCTTTACAGGCGCTGTGTGCAGTTACAGTACTCTTATTGTAGGCAAATGTATAAAGTTTCTTTCTTTTTTCAATATTTGCTTTCAAACTGAAGTGCAGAAAATGCTAGATATTTTTATTGGCCCTGCCTGAGAACAATGTCTGCCCTAGTGTTAATCCGTATGTGTTTAGCTAGAATAGTTATGTTTTCAGATAAGTATTGATCCACAAAATGTACTGATTTTGATTTCCTAGTCAAATGAGATACTCATGTAAATTTTGCTAGACAAAGTGATATTTGATTTTTGACTAATAGGGTTTTCTAAAGGTTACAAAGAAGCATTCATGAGTGGTGATCAAGAACCATGGGCATTTTTAGGTGGCCTTACTGCAGAATTACAGGTACCTTATATATTGTTATTATTTATGTACTGTTGTCAGATATTTTGTAAATTTTTGTACGATTGCATTAAAAAAGATTATATTAATTATTGTATATGTATTTTACTTAAAAAAAGTAAGGTAAATGTTAAATTATTTGTTGTCATGGTGCCAAAATTTTTTCTAGCTTTAATTGTGTTTATATTGTTATTATTCATAATCATACTAAAATTTTGGCCCAATACTGTCTTCATGGTGCAAGAGATCAAATTATACAGTATTAACCTATTAATGTGCAAAATTCTCTCATCAGTGATTAATTGGATGAAGCTGCTAAACAGTATAACTTGCTTCTGGTAGTAATTTAACAGAAATTTATTGGTTCTTTAGAATTCTTCAGGATGTTCGGTAAAAATGCGAGTTTTGTGTAACATGTCTTATTGGAGGGGTTCTTTTAACATGAAAATTCTTTCATCTTTTCTGTTATTAATCATGACCTGTTTTGTGAAAAATCAAAGTGTGAAGCTTTAAAGTCTTTTTCCTAACTTCTTAGTGTATTGCTTGGTGAATTTTTTTAAGTGAGTTTTTTGACACATCGATGAATCTTCTACCATAAAGGTATATATATGAGATTCCATAACTCAAGATCTTTTTGGCTTGTGTTCAGAGAAAAGACAAGGTTTCATCTAATAAGTTCGTGGATTATCAAGGTTTTATCAAATATGTTAGTGGATTATCAAGGCTTTATTGTAGTTTTTAATTAGGGTTTGATTGAAATTTGTTACAAAAAATATAGTAAATTTTGGTGTGTTAGTTTTATTTACTGTGTTTGAATTCCCGTATGTAGCAAGAATGTTACTGTTTTATAGTATCAGAGTTGCCAACTCTCCCGATTTTCGACCGCTCTCCCGCCAACCCGATTTACAATATATTTCTCCCAACTTTTTTTTATTCTCACGATTTTTATGGAACTTGGCTTAAAACTTTGTTATATGAACAAAATAAGGGGGATTTTGGACATCTGAAAGCATTTGAATTTTCTCTAGATTATATCTAAAACAAAACCTTGCGAATCAGATAACTTCTGCTTTGTGAGTGAGAGCATATACGTATCCAGAAACATTGTTCTCCAGTTCTCCAATGGGCATCGAGCTTTACTGCGTGTCATCTGGCATATATTAGCCAATGAGGACAAAGCAAGCTCTTATTGGGATGTTCTTTAGTTATTTCATTCATTTGCCCTGAGTTGTGCGAGTACACGTGCCTTCGGAAAATAGTTTTGAAATTATCATCTTTTGTTATGTCTGCGAGAAATGTGAAATACTCGTGAACGTTTCAAAAATCATACACAGTTGACTTTACTTTCATAATTTCCTCAAGGAAATGTAATAAATTTGCGATGTGTACCGCTTGTCGTTGCGATTTTTCGATTTTGATGGTGGAAGGGCGGATGTTCTCAAACATGTGCGTACACAAAAACACAAGGACAACATGAGTTGTTTTGAAAAAAACAAAAAATTAAATTTTTCTTCGGAAACGAAGGACCAAAACGTTATTAATGCAGAATGTCTGTTCTCTGCCTTTTTACTGGAGCACAACCTGCCACTGAATGCATCGGATCACGCTGCAGCTTTATTTAGAAAAATGTTTCCCGATAGCCAAATCGCTAAGAAATACTCAAGTGTAAGGACCAAAATAGGTAAATTGTTAAAGAAATGGGCTTGAAAAATAAATCTTTAGTTATTGATTGCGTAAAAGCAGCTCTGTTCTGCCTCTTTACGGAGGGAAGCAATAATACCGATTCAAAACTGTATCCAATTGTTGTTTCTTTTTTTTTTAATCCAGAGTTTTCAGAAATGGAGTGAAGTTTACTTTCTGTCCCCACTTTAGAAGGACATTCGACAGGCTTTAATATAGCACAGCTAATTATTAAAACACATTGTTGATATTTATTATTATCTTGAAAGGAGTTCTAAAAGGAAGGAAAAATTGAAACAGTTCCAACAGCTGCATAACAGCAGTTTACAATTAGAAAACTTGCATGAAGTTATAAAATCAGCTAGGATTGACCCAGTGGAGTTTAATTGGAAAACTGAAAGGTGCTGATGGAATTGTAAAATATAATGAACTATCTAGAATTATGTTGGCCATCTTGACAGTTCCCCATAGTAATGCAGAGTGTGAGAGGATTTTCAGTGTTGTTGCGAAAACGAGGACTAAATTTAGATCTAATATTAGTGATGACACATTAGGAAAACTTTTATTGGCAAAAGCAGGCCTACGTGGCAATTGCTATCAACAAAACTATGAAGTTTCTTTCTTAAAGAAAGCAAAATCTGCCACTGTTTATAACATTTGTACGAAAACTGATTAAAGTGTCTTTTTGTTTTCTTAAACGATGCAAGTAATAAAATGTTTTTTATGTGTAAGGTATTTTTGTGTTGCTTGCATTTAAGAATTAGTTACCATTTAAAGTTAATTCATTATTAAAAACTATATTTTTATCATTTAAAAAGAGATACATTGAGAAAAATCTCCTGATTTCTTTAAAAAAATCTGCTTTTTGAGTGTCATAGGTTGGGAAGTATGTAGTATGCATTTATATTGATGTGTGTTAACTGTGGGTCATAACTGAATAAGTAGTGGACCAGGTCTGTGTTAGAACATAGTAGTCATTGTTTTGTTGAAGGACAAATTTAACTTGGCTTTATTTAGTTTGATAATGCACTTATAGCCATATCATGCTTTGTTGGTTTTGCTCAGGTATACCAAATACAGTCCAAATTTTATTTGTGCATCATGTAAAAAATGTCCATTCAGCTCCCATACTGTTTGGATAAGGAGTTTCTCAGAAAATACTTGTCACTCTTTGGCACAAACCTTTTGATATGTGAGCTGATGGATAGCGATGTCTTGCATAATAGATTCCAGTGTATTCGAAAATGTGTATGGAGTTCACTGATGACATGTCAGTCGCACTGGAGGATTTCAACCATGTTGAGAAGCAGATGATTCAGAATATTCTTAATTATGGTCATTGACCTTTCCATATTCGAACACCATAGTTATACTGTTAACTATTCCTTTATGTCTGCAACTCAAACTTTCATAATAGTCTGGTTAATTTCATGTGGGGATGTTTGTCTAGCATGCAGAAACCAAATGATAGCTATTACTTCACATCTGAACGAATTTATTTGCCCATTAATTTTTGCATGTATACACAATGCATATGAAGTTACTGCTGCACAATGCAATAGTAAGCGCAACCTATATTGTGATGATACTCAGACCATACACTGCAGCCTTGGCTGCTGCATTCTGACCCTTCTGCCTGAAGCAGATTCTTTTTTCAGTGGACTTATGGCTTTGTAGAATAATGGCCTGAGTTATGTATTTTCAAAATAAGATTTGCCCAGCTTTTTAATACTAAATTGGTAATTCATTTTAGATAGCCCTCATATAAAAATGTCAGTGTTTGATGTGTTAAACATTTTCATACTATGTTTGTTTATATATGTCAGTTTTATTTTTAATTAATGCTTCTTTTCAGCACCTGTTGCCTCTTGAAAGTGTGAATGACTTGTTTCTGTATAAATCTCCAGAGACTCCTAATAACAGAATATATACTATCCGTCCTTACTTGCCTTCTGATGAGGTAAACTTTTTAAACTTCTTATCTTCTAAAAATATACTGTATTGTTCTTTTGAGCAATGAGTCATTCAATGCTTATAAGCTTTTTATCACTATGTGTTATGTACAAGTCTTCTTTTAATTGAAAATATGAAGTGTATGTGGCAATGTCTAATTTAATTAACACTTCTGAATTTTATGCACTAACCGGTCTGAAATTAGTTTAGGGTGAATTTGATTCTTTAGTGAAAATCTATATCTTCAGCTTACTGTGAAACCTAATGCAAGTGTCGATAGAAGTGGGCAGGAAATTCATCATTGGTCACACAGATAGTTCCACCACACTAACTATGCAGTTCTGCTCCATTTTTGATGAAAAACGACTTGAAAGACAGTCCAAAGGTCTTCCGCCCTACCACCAAATTCTTGAGATAACTTTTGGTGCTCTGTTTTTTTTAGGGCCATTTTGCTGCACAGATACTATATGCTTAGACATGCATGCCTTCTCCAAGAATTAAACCTCAGCCCATCAGTATGGTGGTCAGCATCACTAACCACTATACTGGCTAGATGACTGAAACCTGATGTAGATGTTGTATCGGCTCATTTTATCACTGTGGCAGTTGGTTCGTCCCCTTGCTGGTCAAGTATTTTATTGGTTAAGTGTTTAAATTATAAAAATTGTTGCTAGTTGCTATGAAGGTGGGAAGTTGCAATTGTTTATTGATGTACATGCTGTTATGTGACTAAGGCTTCCCATCCCTAAGCTGTTTTGTCTGTTAGGGAGCTAAGTTAACTCAGAGAGTTCAAAATTTTCTTCTCCATTTATGCTTATAATTTTTTTTTATTACCGCAAGAGTTTTATGACTTTTGCAAATAATTCTTTTTGCATTATTATACTTAATTGCATTGAATGCAATAATAGAATAAAGAACTTGATGTTGCTGCATTAACATGAATTTATAGATGTAAAACTTTAGAAAATTAATGATGGTGTTTCATGTCTTACACACAACTTTATTTTGCATTTGTAACCAGGAAAATGTGTTTTTTTTTTTTTTTTTTTTAAATTCTGATGCCATTCATGGTTTTATGCTTTTTTACTGGCTCTAAATTCTGCATAACTGAATACTGGGCCAGTTGTTTCTAAGTGCTAAAATTCTGATGACTTGGAGTCAGACTCTTCAGTTAAAATACCTCCAACCTGTCCCTCCTCCAGAAATTTATTAAATAATGTGAATTGGAATCAAATAGCTAAAGCGTAAATGAAAAATTGCTCAATTTTTGATTTGTTCTGGCTCTGGTTAATGAACAGTATTTTCCATAAATAGATTTTCTTTCAAAATGAAATTAAACTTAAAATTATTAAAGAGAATTAATTATTAAAGAGAGAGATAATTAAAATGGTGCATTGCCAGCAGCAAAGTTTAAACTGAAGGTTTTACCATGCATCAGATGTATGCAGCAGGCAAAGACATCTCTTGTCAGGCAGATAATCTTCTTATGCTGTAATCAGTTAACCTAACCTAATTGTATGCCAATAGGAAGTGCATGTGAGATATAAATTAAAGACTAACTGAATTAGGGAAACCTGTCTTGTAACACGACCTTTTGCCTTGATGACGGTTGCAGTTCTTGACATGGACTTGACAAGACACTTGGAAGTTATGGAAAGCCATATGTATCCTTGACTCTGAACAACATCCTACATGTCACGAAGATTAGATGGGAGGTGGTCGGAGCATCGAACATCTTTCAATTGCATCTCAAATGTGTTAATCGGATTCAGGTCAGGTGACCTCGAAAGCCAGAAAGCACATGCAGATCTGTGGAATGCTCATCCAACCATTCAGGTACAATTCAGGCCCAATGGCATGATGCATTGTCTTGCTGAAAGATAATCTGTATAGTGAACCGTTGAAAATTAACAGAAGCAGATGGTCATCAAGAATATCTGGTAATATTCATTTGTGAGAGACAATGTCACGTGCACCAGGGGTCCCATGTCAGTCCATGTGAACACTGCCCAGACAAGAATATTACCTGCACCAGCTTGAAGAGTTCCTTGCTGGCAGGAAGGATACACCACTTCATGCGGTTTACGTTGTGCACCTACTCTGCCATCAAAATTTACCAACATGAATCTTAACTCATCACTGCAGGCAACAATTTTCTGTATCTCGATGATCCATTGTCAGTGTTCCCATGTCCATGCTAATCATTGTGCCATATTTTGTGCAGTCAGTAGAGGGACTCTCATAGGACAATAACTCCTGTATTCCATTGAGAAAAGGTTTTCTATGCTGTTATGCACTAGTGTTAAATTGATGGGTGACCTGTTGTACTGTGGCCGTCGATTAAAGCGGGCTAGCTGCCAACAACCTTTGTCATCCATATGCTGTTGTCCGTGGCAGTTGATACTGGCAGCAATGGTTTTTACCGGAATTGCGTCTTCACAGTTCCCCCTTGACACATGAATGGTGCATAAAATTCAAGTGTGTGTTATTTTTTAGTTGATAAGATTCCAATAAAAGTAGTGCATTTTAATTGTACAGCCTTTCTGGAAAATTATTTATTTTCTAGGCTCAAGTATATAATGTATGCCGAAGGACATGTGATGATGGCATGGATGGAAGTGAAGTTTTCCCTGAATATCCAAATCTAATTGGAGATAAGTATGTGTTTTGTTAAAATGGGAACTTTGCTTATGTATCTCTTATTTTATTCTCCTAATAATATTTTAAAATTTAACAGGTTAGTGGGACATTTTCTGTGCTTGAGCCCAGAATATTGTTTTGTTGTTGAAGATGACATGGGTATATGTGGATATGCATTAGCAGCTCTAGATGCACAGCAGTTGAAAAAGAAAGCAGAAATATGTTGGATACCTGAATTGCTTTTGAAATATCCTGCACCAAAGAAAGAGAATGGGGAAATGTTAACACCTGCAGAAGTAAGTCTGTCAGCATAACTTTTTTCTGATTTTTTAAAATTTATAACAGGAAGATACTTTGGTGTCATTCTGCAATTTTCACTCGAGCATAAATGGGAAAAGCTGATAAGAATCAGTCTTGTTTTTATTTCCTAATGTTGTATTTTATTGTATACTGTTATTACACTCAACACTTACCAAGTTTCATAACTGTTACATGAAAGAATTTTGATTTACTATGCATTTTAGTTCTCTGATTGGTCTCATAACTTAGATAATTATGTTTATTTCAATAAAATATAGATATCCTTCAAGTGTTTTTACTTTTTAAAAATGTGTGTCTGAAGATAAAAAATCTGCATATCTTTGGGGTAGAGATTGCACAGATATAAAAGCAGTGGTATGAAACTAAAAATCAGATTTCAACTAGAAAAAGCAATTTTTATGACATTTTTATTAAAAGGACAGCAAAATGTATAGAAAGAAAATAAGGATAAAAAAATTTATAAACTTGTTTTAGTATTTTTGAGCATGTAATTTCTGTAATTGTAATGTATGACTGTAATTTATATTAAAATTTTAGAATATTTTAGTATGAATTCCCCAAGTTACAGGTAGTATTTTCTGATTGATTATGGAGTTTTGTTCAAAAACATTTTAATATGTTATGTTCTTTGCATCTTCAGCAGCAAGACAGAAATTTTTTGTGCAGTATTTAAAATACACCATGATCTTACTCATGTTTGTCATCCACTCTGCAGTGTGTTCTTGGAATCTGTGCTGACTTTTTATCATATCATTTGTATAAAAAAAGCTGTGTTTTAGATATGTCTTTTATTGCATCTTATGTGCAGAAATTTCATCATCGCAGTCTATCACTAAAACTGGGTATTGTAGGTTATGTCACATATTGGTCAAGGTAGATTTGGAAACAAGTTTTTTATTCAAAAGTATTGCAATCTTTCTAACTGAATTTGACTATTTGTATCTGTCCAGGTGAATGGATTTTAAATATTGGTAGATTTGGAATCGGTGTATTTATAATCCTGTACTGTATTTCCATAAGTTTTCTAAGTTGTATTTGAGTCATAACCTTTGTTATTAAAAAACTTTCAAAACTTCTGCAGACTATGTAGAAAGAAGGAAAAGGATGAAGTTTTTGTATCCCTATTTTTTGCTTCCTAATCGACAAAATTTACATTTTTCTGGTGTCAAAATGTTGGACTAGGTTATGTAATACATGCTAACATTTAGGATCAGGAGAACAATTTGTAGGAATTTCGTTCTCCTGATGAGGAGGGACCTTTAGCTGCCCTCGAAATCGATTGAGTGTTGTAATATACTTACGCTAAATACAAGGTTGTTGTTGCGATTTTAATTGTCACATTGGCGTGTTTCTCTTCATTTCTATTAGGTGCTTTTCAAAAATTGTACGCAGATGATTTTCCGTGAATTATCTTTTGTCAAAGGAATTGCTTTTGTAAAGCATACAATTTAGTTTTTTTAGTTGTGCATGATAGAAGTGCTGATGTTTTTTAACATGTGTAAAGCATGAAAAGTTGTTATCAGGAAAAACAGAACTACACTACATAGCAATTGCTTTAGACAAAATTATAATACTTGGTTCCTAAAGAAAGGGAGGAGGGGAAACTGTGTTTTAAGTTGCATAAAAAAATTGTTCTGTAAAAGGTATATGTATGATGTAAATTTTTTGTTTTGGTTTTTCAGATTTTGCATGAAATTGGAAGAGAAACATGCACATGTAGAAATTAAAAATAATTCAAAAAAGCAATCTTTCACATATATTTCACATATATTTTGTATAAAACCTTATTGATTTCAAGAGTAGGCTACAGCTTCCTCTTTCCAGAAGATGTGCAGATCAGCTGCTGTGCCTCTCACTTCTACATTTGAATTATGTGGTGTCACCTCCTGTGAAATGGAGTATGTCGTCTTTCTCATCATTCTCTGTGCATCAAGCTGACCCATTCAACCTGCCATTTTTTGTGACGAATCATGTAGATAACCTCCATGTCTACCAAAATTGCAATTAGTCATAATCGCTAATTTTTCAAGTGTTAGGTCACAGATCTGTTATTTGTCCATAATATTCTCTTATGGTGAAGCAGTATGAAGTTTAAAGAAAAGCTGTACAAAATATTTTGCAAGTTCAGTGTACCTTATGTTTTCATTGTAAGTAAGCATTGTCATAGTCTTTGTTTGCAATTTAGTTGATTGCAAATGCTCTTTTTCTCCAAAGCAAATGACAAATCTTTTAAGTCGGAAATATTGTATCTTCTGACAACTGCCTATGACTGGCCTCCAGATGCACGACTGTTTGTTTAGTGGTCAGTAGTGGTTGCAGGTCTTTTCAGCTACATAACTTAGTCCGTGTTGATTATTGAGGCATAATCTTTTCTGTACTTTAGGTATTTGGATTTTGTTTGTTATCTGTATATTTTCTTTCAATTTGTAAACCATTAATTGAAGCATAACGTGGGAGTGCTTAGTTGCAAATCTTAAAAACTTTAATGCCTGTAATTAAAGTGCCTTATAAAGTGCAAGAAATATTTATATACTGTCATTTTTTTTCAGGAAATTATATCTGCATTCTATAGTCAGCAAAAAGTAGGACCACCTGATATTGTTTATCAGCATCATCCATCAACATTGCGCATGAATATTTTACCAACTGTTAATGATCCCAGTGTGCCAAAGCGTATGCTAACTTGCATTTTATCAACTTTAAAGGCTAATGGTGAGTTAATTTTCAGTGTAATGTCATGTAATTCAAAAATTAACAGAGATAAAAATTGTGTGACAAGTGCCTGATAGATGAAGTAAAACTAAGAAGATACAAAATGAAAAAATTTCCTTTTTTTCATTATCTATTTCTTAAATTCTTCATGCATTAACTTAAAATTTGTACATTTATAAGTGTATTTTTGAATTATGTAATTGATGAGACATTTTACATTGTCTAAATTTGTTTTCTTAGGTTCACATGGAGTGTTTGCGGAAGTCACCGTTGGAGATAAAAATATTGTAGATTTCTTTTCTAAACTTGGATTTTTAGAAATCGCACACCCAGGTTTTACTTGTGATGATGTTTTTTACATGGGAAGGACTTTTTAAAAATTTTTAGGAATTGGATTCCCCCCCCTGTCTGCCTGAAATTTACTGCCTTGTTTTTATTAATACAGGTCTAACTGTTTGTACTTGGTCCTGAGTTAGTTTGCAACAGTGACAATCGAGCGACATATGGGAAAATTAATATTACTCATGTTAATGCAAATTGAGTGGTTGGTAATGCTGAGGAGATTCACTCTAAATCATTTTCACCCAATCTCCTTCACAGTATCTCAACTGTAAAAATATTGCTTTTAGTTAGTATGAGTAAGGTTTGTAGTGTCACACGCTTAGACATTAATTTATTCTTTAGAGCTCTTAATTATTTTGTACTCATTTTCAAAATTAATTTCCTGTCTTTTCAAGCACACTATAAGTAATTTAGTATGGTTAAATTCAAACATTATTCTTGTAAATAATTCATTTTATGCAGAATTTAATTAAGTTTTAAATGCAGCACATGATCAATCTGAAGTTTTATGTTTCTTCATTTATATGTAAATAAGTTGTATTATGTACATTGAAAATATCTGTATGTATATAAAAATTATAGTGTGTATTTATATGAAGAGCTGTATATGTATGATTGAAAGTAACTTATAAAATCCTACAAATGCTGACAAATTGCATATGTGCAGTTAAAAACGAGCACAAAAAATATGTTATTTATTATGTAATATCTGAATTAGTACTCATTTAAGAAACTTTTTTTCTTTTGTTCGAGTGTTTGAATTGCTGTAGATCTGCTCATATTGATCCACATTTTGTATTAATATTCATTTTTATATTTTGTATTGAAATTTATATTTTTGTGAACTGTATTCAGTATACAAATGATTTATTTGTGATTGATTTTAATCTAAATATAATACACTGACTTCTGGAAATAAAAAGAACTGATAAAGTTTAAAAAGAGATTTCATGCCAGTAATGTCCAATTGATAATTGAAAATGAATTAGAAACTAGTGTAGCTAGTAATGAACTAACAATAAAACTCAGTTGTTCAAATCATATCATTTTCAATAATGGATTTTCTGCATTATCTGCAAATTGTTCAACTGAGTTTGGCTTAGAAAAAGAATGTGTTGAATAATTTTGTAGTACTAGAAGGAATGAAAATATTAATCATTTATTATTTGCAATTATGATTTTCTACAAATTGTTTGAGAACGTAAGTTACTATTCTACTACTGCAGACAATTAGGTACTTGCTATTCTTGACCTTTATTTAAAATTAAGCACTGTTATAAATTTATATGAACAGCTGTATATGTATAATTAAAAGTAACTTGGAAAATCCTCCAAATGCTGACGAATTGCATTCATGCAATTAAAAATAAACGAAAAATTCATAATTTATTATGTAATATCTGAATTACTAATTTAATAAATAATTGTTCGTATTTGAATTATCTCAGAACCGCTCATACTGATCCACATTAAGTAGTAATACTCATTTCTATATTTCGTATTGAAATTTATATATCTAATTACTACTCATTTAATAAATTACTGTTTGTATTTGAATTGCTTCAGATCCACTCATACTGATCCACATTATGTAGTACAGTCAAAAGTCATTAATTCGGACACCCATAATCCGGACGTTGCAGATTGCGTTGTTCCTTAATCTTCAAATTGGATCCGGCTTATTATTTTTTGCAGACTGTTAGAGCAATTTTATAAAAGTAAGCTTGAACTTTCGATTATGTCAAATAGAATTTCCGATGCTGGAGCTTCCAAAGGATCTACAAAGCGAAAGTATGTTTCGATGTCCATCAAACAAAAAGTGGAATTGCTGCAAAAAATGGATAAATTCATATCCTTTGTTTCTGTAACCATTCCGAAATCTGTTTATCAATTTCACGCTGCTCTGCGGGGGGAGGGGGACGCCGCAGCGCGCAATGAAGTGGAAGTTGATCTGTCAGCACAATCCTTATCTTCAGGGCAGATTTTTTATTTTATTTAGCTTATAATTCCTTACTAAATGTAGTATTTCATCTCGATGTACTCCGTCTTTGATATGATTTAAATCAAATTCCTCGTTATTATAATTCACTTCCGATAGTGAAGAAAGTGACAGAGGTTATTGAATACGAAAAAGTCGGTATTCTTGACTTAGCAATTATAGGACTTGAACAGCGGAACTTTGTAACTGAACAAGAAATTATGTATGTTTATAGAATTAAAGAGAAAGTATTATCACATAAAACAAAGCAACTTAAACAACTTACATTGAAAGAAATGTTTAATAAAGTAAATAAATAAATATTAATCTTTTTTTTTCTAAATTTTGATACCCTTTAGATCATATTTGTTCTTTATTTCATAAATTACGATTTCGTATTTTTAATTTTATAATTTCCGCATGCTATCTTACCAGATTTAAACTGATGATCTATAATATGGAAAAATCGATAATCTGGAATTGCCAAAGTCCCGACAAGTCCTGATTAACGACTTTTGACTGTAATACTCATTTCTATATTTTGTATTGAAATTTCTATATGTACTGTATTCAGTGTACAGATTCTGTACTGACTAATTTATGATTGATTTTTTAAGCCAAATATGATACATTGACTTCTGTGAATAGTAAGAACTGATGAAGTTTAAAAGGGACTTAATGCCAGTAATGTCTTAAGTTGATAATTGAAAATGAATTAGGAATTAGTGTAGGTAGTTAGAAACTTAACTATTAAAATCAGTGGTTCAAATCATATTTTCGAAAATCGTTTGCATTATCCACAATTTGTTTTCACCAAGTTTGATTTGGAAAAAAGTAGGTTGAGCAGTGCGATAAGGAATAAAAATATTGATCATATTTATTGTTTGATATTAAGATTTTTTAGTCATTTTATGAGAATTTAAATTACTTTCATTATTGCGTACAATTTCATGTTCACCATCTTAGCCTAACTGTTTATTTGTTAAAATATTTTCCTCATTTTTAATGTGAGTTTTTTTTATATATTTTAAAGTTTTAGATTTATCTGTATTGTAAGTTATTAGACAAACAAGTGTCCATTTTTGTGTGTAAAATATGCTTGCTTGAGTCTCGATATGTGTTGAACTACTTAAGACTGGGGATGTGACATATTAAAAAAATTATCATGAATGGATTTTTAGTTTTGTGAATTAATTTATAATATCACTAGTTTAAACTTTAAATTTTAAATACTCTACCTCCCAAATTATGAATAATAGTTGATTTTAACTGAACTGAAAGAGCAGCAGATGTACTAGTCAGCATGTAAACTATAATCATGCAAGCTATGCACATCTTTTGATGTATCTGTGACAAGGATTTCATAAATTAATTAATTTTCACTTTATTGGTTATAGTTTCAGTTATATAGCTGGCATTATAGATGCATACTTATACTGGTTATATATGCATATACCAAATGAATACTGATACACTACTAATCTACCGGTATTTGAAAAGATAAAAATGTGAAAACTTATGTTCAGCAGGTTATACTTAAAATAACTGCAAAAGAAGCGTATGTTTATAATGAAATAAAACTATTAACAATAGAGCTTTCCTGGACCCGTGCCTGTCAAAGATTGCTAAATATGAATGAAAATGTCTGAAAACATAATTTTAATTCATACACTAACTTATACTGAAATCTAAATATTAGCTGAATATTCAGATTTTATTTTAAATTTATTTAATGGCAAACTGAGTTTCGGTAGACTCTTATCATTTGTAACTGATTTTTCTTTTTAATTCCTAATACTTTATCATTTTTTAGCTGTTCTGCAGTATATACAGTACAAAGTCAGATCCGGACTCTTCGGGACTTTGGCGATTCCAGATTTTTCAAGATATTAGATCATCAATTTAAATCTAGTAAGATGGCATGTGAAAATTATAAAATAAAAATATGAAATCATGATTTATGAAATAATAAAGCATTTATGAACTATAGGGTATCAAAATTTACAAAAAGGTTTAATATTTATTTGTTTACTTTATTAACATCTTTCAAAGTTAGTTGTTCAGGTTGCTTCATTTTTTGTACTAATATTTCCTCTTTTATTCTATAGACAGACATAATTTCTTGTTCACTTAGAAAGCTCCATTGCTCCTGTGCATTTGCTGTGTCAAAAATTCCAACTAACTTGTCAATCAAAATTTTTTCTTTTTCAAAAACCTTTTCTACTTTCATCACTATTGGTATGAATATTTTCTGGATCTAGAACTATACTAAAGATTTCACAATTTGTTAGTTGACTGATGATTTCGCATTGTCCTCACAATCAAAATTTCTGTTATATATCATCTTCATTTGTTAGCACTTCTCCACATTTCTTTACAAAAATTCATTAATCGGAAAATTTCACGTTTGATTTGGGATACCTGAAAACCTACAATTTCACTTGCGGCTATCATCTTCACCATGAAATATGGTAGCTGGTCATAAATTATGCCAAGTATTTTTTAAAGTATCTGGAGACACATATTCCCATGATCTTGCAATGCTCCATACAGCAGATTTTATGCTAAAATATTTCAAAAACTATTGAATAGTTTTGCTGCATGAGTAATTACTCAATGTGGTCATGTGGTGATGAAAGCAAAATATAATAAAAATTTGCCAGGTTGGCATCAGAGATATAAAACAGTAGTAGGTGTAAAATCAGCAATGTTTCTATGTAGAATGGTTTGGTTTGAGATGTAAGCCAAGCAGATATGCAGCTACAGAGCCAAATCATTGATCAAAATTTATGCTAAAATGATTGTTTCTTCAGTAACGAGGTATTTTGTATAGTGCCAAAGTAAAACTAAGAATTGGGACTCTCCACATGTTTTATTATGGTGTGGGGAATCAAATGCGCATGCGTAAAGCATACAAAAAAATTTCCTTAAAAAATCTGAAAGGTTTCAGATTTTAAACTACGTCCAAAACATTTTGTGTGTTACCTTTATTTTTAAATATGTTCTTCACACTCTACCATAAAAGTCAGTTCAAGAGCAAGATCATAAAATAATTTTAAATTGAGCATATCTTTAGAATTTCCGATATACAGTCTCACACACTGAAGATAAATGTGTTTTTTCTGTACATCGTTGCCATTGCTCGCTTTGAAATTCTTGAGTTTGTTAATAAAAATTCATTAAAGTATTACAAAATAGGAAATCTATAATAAAACATTCCAAACTTCAAATTTGGGTTTCCAGATGACCATATTTGTAGTAGGATTAAGTCATTCAAAATTCGATGGCTGTATGTAGAGTTGTTTTATCACAATGCGAGACATGCATACATTTTATGCAGATTCTTCATTATTTATTTTCTTCAAATATGATACAGGTCGATAATATTTGGTGGCAACAGTTTGAAAAGTCAAACGGACATCCAGAGTGATTCGACGCAAAATCACAAAACAAAAACAGTAGTCTCTCTGAGACAAAGCCCCTTTTGGACTAAAAAAAAGGGTTGGTGGCTTTTAAGTCCAGATTTTAGATCATTCTGGATATTGGACATCCAGATCTAGGATTTTGTATCGTATAACTTAAGGAAAAGGCTACTTCTGGTAATTAGATGAGTACAGTTAATAAGAATTTATTAAATGGAGCCAGTGTAGTATAAAAATTAAATATGAAGAACAAAAGGAAAATGTAAATATAAAGTTACAACTTAACCAATGTATGTGTAATTAATGAGAAAAAATTTAAGTTTAAAATAAAACTTAATAAATAAACTTAATAATAAAGATTTTGGGGGAAAAACTAATATCAAATTTTTCAGGATACTCACTTTTTTCTATTCAAGTTTTCAGCTCGAAATTTAATTACTCTGAATTATGACTCATTATTAAAAATCTTCATTTTAATTTATAATGGCGTTAATAATAAAGATTTTGGGAAAAACTGATAATATCAAATTCCTTAGGATACTCAAGTTTCTGTATTCAAATTTTCAGGTCGAAATTTAATTACTCAGGATTATGTCTCATTATTGGAAAACTTCATTTTAATTTATAATGCCTTTATTACCTTTAAGGAAGAATTAGTTTGTCTGTACATTTCCTTTTTTGTGTGTATGTGTGCCAAACCTCCTCCTTGCGACCTTAAAAGAAATTAATCTGTATTTTTCAGATGTGGATTGTATGCAATTTAGTTATTAAAATATATGAATTCATCACAGCCTTACTATCTTCATTTCCATTGTGCTAAACAGTCAGCTTTATAGGTTTTTCAAAGATTTAAATGTGGATCTGCTGTCATTCATGTTGAAATGTATATTGTTTATTCTTTAGAAGCAGATCTTCATTCCATATTGTATTCATGCTTTTTTATGTAATTTTATTAGTTATTTAATTGTAGAAGTGAAGTATGCCATTTCTGAGGGTCTTGAAAAAATATCTGCACAAAAAAAATAAAGTATGAAAGCTTTCAGATTTTATATTATGCCTCAAAGGGGCTTCTTTTTAATGTTTTGTGTGTTACTTTTATTTATTAAATATCATGTTCTTAAGACTTGGACCATAAAATTCAATTCAACAGCAAATATAAAAAAATATTTAAAAGAGCATATCTTTAGAATTCCTGATACATAGTCTTGTGTGCTGGAGATAAAAATGTCCCCCCCCTTGTACAGTGTTGCCATTGCTTGCTTTAAAATCGTTGAGTTTCTTAATCAAGAACTCATAAATGCTTTAGAAAATATGA